CATTGAGTCAACTGGTGTGGTTTCGATTCCCCAGTTGTATGTGACAAGTAGTAGCTAGGGTCGCCTGTCCCTCCCACTGCTGAAGACCCCTACGCGCAAGCGAGTTATTGAACTCTCTCTCTCTCTCTCTCTCTCTAAAAATCATTCTATAATTTGGTTTAAATTTCTTTGAGGACCCTCTAGGAGTCACAATTCTGATCCGATTTTGATGAAACTTGAAATATATCTTTATATTATTTATAACCCAAAGATCTTGGTGCCTGTCGATATTCGCGCATTTCGGATCGTAATTTCCTGAATTATGGCCCTTGATTGTACGAAAAATCGGTTTTTGTTTAGCTTGTTCTCTATTTTGAACAGAAACCCGTAATTATCGTACATGTACATAAGACATAAAACGAACTCTGTGAAGTTCCGATTTCTTATTGACCCTTTAATTATACCGGATTTCAACACCGTGGCCAGGCATATAATGCGAATCGTGCTCATGTAAGATTATAAAATCGGGTTATGCATAACTGACATGTCATTATAAACATGTAACGGTAAATCTCATCATCTTTGGCTATATTCTATGCCCGGAATAACTAGCGATCTGAAAGTCGGGGGCGGCTTTAAATATATTCAGGGGAATTTGGGGTTATTCTTCTGAAAGTTTTTCTTAAACCCGTAACGGTTATTTTTTCCATAAGAAAAAATGATATAAGGTTTGTCTTACTGAAATTCTGGGATATTCTCATTTTACGTACATGTAAACATAGACGGTTTATAAGCAAGATAAAGCCCCCGACTTCGGTTATACTCGGAAAGAAAGACCTCAGAAAAAGCCCTCGAAAGTAAAACCTCGGCCCAAACTTATGATAATAATACACATCTGTTATTTCACACTCTGTGTACAAAATCAGTTATTACAGGCAAATTCAAATAATTTGGTACATGTCATTTTTGAAAACAATGTTAAAAAAAGTTTACTGACTGGCTTGGTGAGCAAGACGTTGGCTCGCTAACCAGGAGGCTCCATGTTTGATCCTTGCGTTGGTCGAGAAAGTTGTTCTTTGGGATTTTCAGGCGTGGTTCCCCCTTGTGCAGGATGCAGGGCCTGCCAAGGGTTAACGCATAGTCGTTTGGATGGAACGACAAACCGAGGTGACGAGGTCCCGTGTCCACATTGATGTGCACGTAAAAGATCCCTTGACAGTTGGAATTCGATATAAGAGTAGGCCGTTGTGCCACTGTACGGGAAAAATGTTCATCATAGCACACTGTATGCCCAGTCGGAGCAGAAAAGTAGGACCTTATCTTATAATTGAATAGTGCTGTTTATTTTAAGTACGATAACCCTGTACTGTAATAAAATCTTTGTGGACGTTTTATTGGTGTTCCATTTAGTGTGAAATCTTGTCTTGGAATGTCAATACCGATGACCTAGCAAAGAACGACGTCTAATCGATTGGATTGAAGGGGAAAACGTGTGTCCCGTGTACAGCTAGTAAAGGAAACCTAATATTTTGATTTTGACGAATGGGCCTGGTTTGTATAAGACGACATGTATGTAGCAGTCGCATGATTGTGTCATATTCATGTCTCGTCGTTTTTGATGGGACAAAAAACCGAGGTTACATATGCAAATGGTTATTGCACGGAAAACATCTCGTGTCAGTTGGAATTCGGAAACGCTTGTGCCCTCTTCCTCGGTTTGCACACATAACTATATAAATAAAATTTACCAGTGCGAAAATCCCCATTGTAACGTATCGACGTTAATCCCCCATTCCAGTCCTTTGAATACCGGCCTTGACCTAGAAGATTTTTTTTCCAGTAACATATGCTAAATATAGGGGCTGGTGAAACCTATATTAGCAAACAAAACAGTGAAAAGAGAGCTTCTCTATTTTAATTCACATAGATAAACAGTCAAAATTGTTTATGAACGACAATCTCAGTTTGTATTATTCAAGTGACATCATGCCTAGTGAAATATTTCACACTCGAGTTCTTTTTCTCGTTTCTGTAGCTGTTTGCGAATTCTGCATATCAAATTTATTAAAACGTGTTTTAACATCTAGCTGTTACGTCTCACGATTACCATTCCATTCCGATAAATAGATACTATAGCACTGCAAGTTCAATCTTTTCTACAGAGGAGAGGACTTTACAGGATCGATGGATGAACCTCATAGGCCTAATATTGGACACAAAATGGGCATATCCTGACTAGTTTATTATAACTTAATGACACTATAATACGAACTGCTAACCCAGTTGATAAAAGGCTACGCTACTTTAGCAAATAAATCCCCCAAAACACCTGTTCCATAGTAATTGAGGCATGTCAGTCTAAATGCTATTTGTTACCTAGCTAAATAAACGAGGTTTGGAACCGTTTTAGTATCGTCTGTTCCTATTTGGTGTACGATTACAACACGCTATTCAACTTGGTCATAGCGTAACCAATTTCATTCATTGTTTATTTCCACTGGATCCGCCTAGCAGACGAAAGATTTGTCACGTGACAGTAGCCTAGTTGATACAGAAAAAGCAATATAGCACAGAAGCTCATTTGTTTTCCTCTTTTCATTCAGATTATCCAGTTCTTTCTTTCATTCTCATTAAATGTTTTACACAACCGTTTGCCAGAAATGAAAACAGTTTAATTACCTGAAAATACAATGAGAATTTTATCGTTAGCGTGCATTCAAGGTCACAAAGGGGCATGAATCTAGAGCGTTTATGTTTCGGCTCCTGGTTATATTTGAGTTCTTAGGAATATAAATGGGTTTAGTCTCTTCAACACACTAATTAGGTTATATTGATACTATTATTTCTAATGTTAAGCATGAAATGCGGGAATTTTTTACGGACAGAGGCGTTACCGCCAGCTCTTCATTCTTCGAATTCCAATTGTCAATACTTGTTTCTCGCGCACGCCGATATGTACACGTGTTTTTGTACCTATCTCTTGTCTTCCCTTTAACCGCCACCCCTAACAAGTGATAACCAGGCTTGAGATATCCCATAGGTCTCCTCGGTCCATCATTCAGGATTTGAACCCCGGACATTCTAGTCGGGCTACCACTGCCCTACCCTCGGCTACTATGCCGAGTAAACTATCACACTATTAATGACAATTTAAAGATACATTTCCACGAAAGTATTTAAGACCAGTTATTACCCCCAAAATATGATATATTTGGTCTATATATGGAGAGTAAGGTAACTCAATCTTACTGGAAAAATACTGGATTCTATATGAAAAACACCCAGGTGGAGCAACATGACCAATATTAGCGGCTCTGAAAACATTGTGGGTAAAGAGGGTGGCAGGGGATAATCCATGAATTTACTTAGGCTTCGATACTTACGGTAAATGGACAGCGACTAACGACAAATCCAACCGGGCAACAGATTCTCCCACAATCAAGTCATTTGACAAACAAAGTTTCTTAAAATAGATTTATGCGGCATTGCAGTTGTTTGTTTTGCGATTTTAATTTTAAAATATGTTTTGATAAGGATTTGAAGCAACCTTTGTTATAGAAAAAGATGTTTAAATAAAGTCCAAATATATCATCAAATTAAACAGTTTGTACCAGGGAGAGTATCTTTAAGGAGGACAGTTAGAATGCCCAAATACCATTTTCATATTCTGATCGTGATACACTATTATTTTAACATATATGCATTAACAAGTTTTATTTAAACAGTTTATTATTTATTTTTTCTCAACTGTTTTCAAGGACATCTACGTATTAACCCCATACATTCACCTTGGGAATGGATTACCCTTGAGAGGTACAGGCGTACCGATTATTTGATTTTTTTAAACAGAATGTTACAAGATATGAATATTAATTAGATATGAATATTATTGAGATTTGAAGATTATTTTCTTATTTTGGAATTTGGTTTGAAAGTGATCATATGAAACTGTCATATGTTTATTTCTGGAGCTTGTCAGCAGCGGCTGTCCGGTGTCAAATGGCGCCGGTTTGCTGGCTCGCTGGAGGCGCCGGTTTTGGTGGTTGGCCTCGCATCTGTCTTTTAACCCCACCTCGTCCTTGAGATAAACTGTGTATAACAGTCTTGATTGGCTAAATCCAAGCTAATAATCAATTTCAATGCATTTTGATTTTTTTTTATATAATTTCATTTCCTAACATTGTTTCAAAGCTCTAAAATATTAACATTATATGCTAAACACTCTATTATTATCGATCCGTTTAAACTAATAGTCTGAAATAATAGTCCGCGTTTTGCGTTCGATTGTACGCGTCCTCTTTTACGTAGCACTTTATTTAAATATTTTAATATACCCCATTTTATATCCCACGTAGGGGGGTTGTATGGCCGAATGTTTAGCACGTGCGCGCTGTATCATAAGGTCTGTCATTGAGTGAACTGGCGTGGTTTCGTTCCACATAACAAGGAGTAGGGTTGCCTGTCTAACCTCGTGGGTTTTCTCCGGGTTCTCCGATTTCTTCCCAGTGCTAAAGACCCCTACGCGCAAGCCAATTATTAGAACAAAATTTAACCATGTGTTAGTCCCGAAATGACATAGTTTGCGCCGAATGGGCGTTAAACCCCATCTCTCTCTCTCTCTCTCTCTCTCTCTCTCTCTCTCTCTCTCTCCCTCTCATCCCACGTGATTTTTATTAGGCTACGCAGAAGTTGTTGTTCCATGAAACCTGTAATATCTATCATAACTTATCGAGTTGATCTTAAGCTATCCGTAATATTTACAACACAAATATTTACTGGTGAATAAACGGTCAACACAGCCCATGTTCTATATGAATGGTAAATAAACCCTAAACCATTAAACCGGAGTATAAACACTGTTATATACGGGGGTCAAAGTTGATTCACGCCCATGGTTTTGTTGTTCTTTTTTTCCCTAAACAGTATAAAATTTCTAAGCCCAATCTGACAGAATTTTTCATTCCCAGTAGTCTCGATTATCAAGACACAGTTTATATACACCACAGTTCATATAATGACGTCAAGGATTCGGGAATGTTCTTACTGTGAGCCACAGTAAACTGTAGTTAGTTCTACCAGCTAAGCGAGTATAGATATATCATAACTATTATAAGTAACAAAATCAACGATACAAACGATGGCAGAAGACACAGTGGGTAATACAAGGCTTCATGTTGGAGATATCATAGTTATAACAGTTTATTTTCTTTTCGTTCTATTTGTTGGATTATGGGTGAGCGCGTACTTTTATTACTGTGTTTTATTAATAATAGCGTATATCTACTATCGCGATCCGGTCGTTTCGCTGGCATGTCTTTTAATGCATTTGATTGATAAATATGTTGACCCGCCAGCCTTTGTAAATTCCCTTTTATTTTTATTTTCGCTTGTATATTACTAATTAGCACGATATTTAGAACCGTTGGGTTTACCATTCTTTTTGGTAATTGTGTTAAAGAAGGCTGCAAATGCAATCAATGACGGGAATGGGTGTAGGGCAGTTATTTTAAAAGAACTTTTTAGGTTATTATAATATGTTAGAATGAGCAGTATAGGTGAAAATACAGAACACTTTATCTTTACAAAACGTAAATATTATTCTAAACAGGTGTTTAAATCAGAAACGGCTTGACTTGGGGCAGTCTTCTTCATAATACCGAACTCACCTTAAACCACTATGTCTAGTCTGTTTCGTCAAAGGTAGTTTAGAATATTTCTAAATGCAGGTGTAAAAGTTAAATTTACATCATCTTTTGTATCTATGAATATTCATTGACTTTTTTAGTTTGACCTTTTGAATGTATTACATGTATGCAATGTATTGAAAGTATTCAATGCGATGTTCTCAATTCTCCTGCGTAAATGACTAAGTGGGTAAGATGCTGGCTCGCTTGCCTGGAGGTCGCGTGTTCGATCCCTGCATTGACCGAGAAAGTTCATCGGGATTTCCAACGTGGCTTCCCCTTGTCAGTGGTGCAGGAAGGAGGGCCTGACAAGGACAGCTGTTTGGTCGTTCGGATGGGACGAAACACCTATAGGTCCCGTGTATACATTGGCCCCGTAAAAGATCCCTTGGCAGTTGGAATTCGATTTAAGTGTAGGCCATAGTGCCGATGCCCGGGCAAAATTTCCCTCGTGCCTGTCTTCATTAGCCCAGTCGGAGCAGAACAGTAGGACGTTAAACTCCATTTCATTTCATTTCTCATGCGTAAAATTCATGTGCCAGTATACTAGTTTGAATTCATTACAGAGGGAAACTACTGGTACATGATTTGCATGGTTGACATATTTATTTATATAGATCTCAAACAAGAGAATAGAAATATATGTAATTTTCAAGGTTATATTTTCTCGACAATTAAGCAATAAAGAAATGAAATGGGTTTTACCGTCCTACTTTTCTCTTCCGACTAGGCTAATGAAGACGGACATACGCCATACAGTGTGCTATGAGGGAAATATGTTCGGGACAGCGGTTTCGAATTTCAACTGTCAAGTGTTATTTTAGGTGCACGCCATTGTTTTTCGTCCCATCCGAACGGCTAGTTACAAAAGGCCTCCGCAATTCAGAAAGAATTTAAGGTGTATGTGTGTCTCCTACAGGCCGCAATTCTTAACTGATCGTTTTGAATCTTTACGTACTTATTTCATATACCCTAAGGATGATCCCTGTTGTTTTTGGTGCATGCCAGACCCCCAGGGACAGAGCCACGCAAATTTCTTGTATTTGTTTGTCGTCTACAGGCCGTATCGTCTTGAAACTTTACATACTTATTCCTTATACCCTAAGGAACATCCCTATTGTTTGTGGTGCATGCCCATCCCCCAGGGGCAGAGCCACGCCTTTTTTCTATTTGTGCATCGTCTACAGGCCGCAATTCCCTATAGATCGTATTGAAAACTTTTCATACTTATTCCTTATGCCCAAAAGATGACCTCAATGACAGGCCTTATGATACAGCACGCACGTGCTAACCATTCGACCCCCCCCCCCTCCGGAACAGAGCCACGCCTAATTTTTTGTGTGTTTCTGTGTTTCGCCTACCTATTCCTTATACCCTAAGGATGATCCCTATTTATTCTGGTGAATGCCCGACCCGCAGGGACAAAGCCACACCCTTTTTGTCTTTGTGTGTCTGTATGTTGCCTACAGGCAGGCCACAATTCTTAATGGATCGTCTTGGAACTTGGCATATATTCCTTATGGCCTAATGACGGCAACTATTGATTTTGGTGTATGTCTCGACCTCCAGGAGCAGGACCACGCCCAATTTATGTGTTTAGTGCCCGAAGGCCACAATTCTGAAGGGATTATCTTGGAACTTGGTATATCCTTATAACCTAAGGATGGCAACTATTGATTTTAGAGCATGATTCCCCCCCCATCCCTTTTTGGGCGGTGCCCTACCCACTTTTTCTTAATATTTTGTCTATAAAATATGCTGCAATAATTAACAGATATAGATCCAATTCGGAATGTTCCATCGTAAGGTTGAACCTATTTTTATTGGTCTATGTCCAACCCCCAGGGGCAGAGCCACGCCCAATTTTTGTATTTATCATCTACAGACTGCAATTCTGAATGGACAATTTTGGAACTTTGCATTATACCGTAAAGACAGCAACTATTTTTTCTGGGGTGGTGTCACACCCACTTTTTTGTTAATGTTTAGTCTCTAAATTTCACAAAACAAAGCCAACGCCTAGCCTTCTTTACCTCTCGTCATATTACAGTCATTACAGCTATTTCATTTTCAAAAGTACCATATCAATGAAAGCAGGAATGTGGACGTATATTGCAGCGTTAGCGATGCTCTAGTTAATTAATATACGTTATAGAAAATAAAATATAAGAGTATGGCAACCACTTAATTAAAGGCACTTATGTTCCCATTCCACACTTCTTACCTTTAAGAAAAGAATTTATTTTACTCTTATATAAAGCAGAAACAAGATCAGGAAGTGCAAATAACTTAACCAATCAATATTACTAAATGTGTAGTAAATAATATAACTGAGGGTTTTAATTCATAATTTTCTATATAAATGTTTTACATTACAGAGCTCACGCAGAAACAGAGGAAGTGCTGGTGGTTATTTCCTTGCCGGAAGAAACATGAACTGGATCCCGGTATGTTTTTCATGTTGCGTTCGTGTAAAATGTAATGAAATGGGGTTTAATGTCTTACTGTTCCGAAAAGAACAAGCCCCGGCCGCGCGAGGAGCCGCCTACCCGGCGAGCTGGATTCCGCTGATCGCACCGGCGGTTCCACCCGTTTGCCTGTAGGCGCTTTCACGGTCTCTTGTACTCTCTCTTCAAAGTTCTTTTCAATGTTCTTTCACGCATCTGGCTAATGAAGACGGGCATATATCCTGTATTGGGCCATGTAGGTAATTCTGCCCGGACGGCGGCTTTACAGTCTTATCTAATTTCCACTTCAAACTGTCAGGGAAGGTCTTTAACGTGCTGGCAATGTTATAAATAGCTGGAAAGTCTCAGGCTCCCTGGGTAGCATACCAGTGCCATACTCACCGAGATATACCTCAAGGAAAGCTGTATGTTTGATTTCACTAAGACCGATTAATAGTGTTAACCACTGTTAACGTTATAATTACTTTACAATTATCCCAATATAATGTAACAGTAGAGACATGGTCGGTTTATAGACTGAAATGAAATGACGTTTAACATCGTACTTTTCTGCTCCATCTGAGCCAATACCATGCCGTAGGCTACGCTATGACATAAATGTTGCCCGGACAACTGTGCTGCGGCCTAATCTTATTTCAAATTCCAACTGCCAAAGGTTCCTTTACGTGCAAGGCAAATGTGTATACTGGACGCTTTTCCCTGCCAAGGAAAACGACCCAGGAAAATCCAGAAGACCTTTCTTGGCCAACACTTGATTAAAACCCTGGACCTCCAGCTTAAAGAGCCATCGTCTTACTTACTGAAACACTGCCGTGTAACGTGGCTCCCGAATTTATAGATAGATTTGACTAAGACGGGAGAAAAATACAATTAATAAGGATACATATCTTAATACAGAACCGAGAGCATAAACTATATATTTATAATCTTTCTTTTGGCTTCAAATGTTATTATCGAATAATAACATTGTGCATACGATAATACACATTCGAATGTACTGTATTTAAAACAAATTCTGGGTTTGAAATTTATTGAAATCAGTTAGTCATAACTTTAAGAAGCATTCGGTAAGAGCTAAATCTATATATTTATAATCTTTCTTTTGGCTTCAAATGTTATGTAGACTATTAAACGAAAAGTCCGTAATCGACTCTCTAGATTATCGGATGGTTCTGATTTTTGAACGGTTTGAAACACGATCGCAATTTAATTATTTAATTTGACACTGGATAATCGGGACACTGTTTAATATCGTAACAACGGTATCAATTGGAATCGAGACTATACGCTATTCTTTTCTTAAAAGGTTCATAACTTCACTCAGAATGGAATTATTTGACTGAAATTTTTAATATGTTAAATTCCTTTTTCATTATCTATTTTTATACGCCTACCTTTTCGTGTTGACGTATTATGCCGTCGCCCCTGTCCGCCCCTGGTGCGCAAATAGTGTAAAAAATAATAATATGGTATATTAAGGGCACAATTTTGATCAGAGTTTGATGAAACTTGAAATACATGCTTATAACTCAAAGATATTCGCGCATATCCTGCATTATGGTGCTTGATTGTACGAAAAATCTAGTCTTTAGCTTGCGGTCCCTCTAGAGGTCTCAAATTACATCGGATTAAACAAACCGTTTGAATATATCACCGTACGTGAAAATCGGACGAAATGGCCGCGTACGCAAATTGTGTAAATATATGGTATATCAAGGTTGTGCACCCTCTAGAGGCTACAATTTTGATCCGATTTTGATGAAACTTTAAATTTATGTTTATATCACAAAGATCTTGGTTCATTTCGATAATTGCACATATCAGAACGTAACTGCCTATATTATGGCCCCTGATTGTTCGAAAAATCGCATTTTTAGCTTGTGGACCTTCTAGAAGTCACAATTTTTATCCGATTTTGATGAAACTTAAAATATATCTTAATTATCTTTATATCCCAAATATCTCAGCACCTGTCGAAATTCGCGCATTTCAGACCATAACTTCCCGGATTATGGCCCCTAATTGTACGAAAAATCGTGGGTTTTTTTTTAGCTTGTTCTCTATCCACCTCTTGTAAAATGTGGGCGTATATCTTGCTTGGCAAGCGCGGGTTAATTTATTATAGCGAGAACTGTCAGCTTTTTATCTAAATCTTACATAATATCTTTGAAAGGCATTTAGTGAACGGGATGTATAATAAACTGATAACTTTATTGATAACATTCACTAGGTTTATTAACTGCAACGTTTCAGTGAGGATACTCTCACCGTTATCAAGCAATGATGACGGTGAGGGTATCCTCATTGAAACGTTGCAGTTAATAAACCTAGTGAATGTTATCCATGAAGTTGTCAGTTTATTATCTTACATAATGCATATTTACGTTTTGACTATTTAACGTTTGAATTGGTTTCTAATGATTTTACGCATCCATCGTTTATGTTTCCTAGATACATGTACTAATAATAAAGACTCTGGAACACGGTAAATGCGCTAGAAAGTTCATACTTGATTTAGATGTTTTTTTAACATAGTGCACATGTCTGATTTTGAAATATATGAGGACGATCTGGATATTGTGCCATTAATGTTTTTTAAAAAACACAAAATCATCAACATTGAACAGATAGTCGTATAGAAAATCAAATTAAATAGCTGTTATATATAAAATAGTCATTGGTTAACGTAACATATGTGCGACCCATATACCATAAACAATATAAAATCAGCATGACACAATATTTTTATATGAAACTAAAACAAATTAAATTCTTATCTTGGTTATATTATTATCAGAGAGTCGCGGTGTATTTTGCGACGTGTTTATTAGTGGTGCAACAACAGGGTGGGGGGGGGCGAGTCTGACAAGAAACAGTATCTAGATGGGACGAATAGCCATTGTGACCTGTACACATTGTCGTACACGTAAAAGAGCCCTTGGCAAATAAGAGTAGGTCGTAGTACAAATAGTTTAAATTAATGAAACGACGAAACCTTTTGAATGTTACCTGTTCTAGCGTTATTACCCTTGTCCACATTGTATGCGTGGTTCAGACCAGTGAAACGAAGAATCCTATTAAATTTTAGTTATAGCTCTTGATTATGCAATAGACCCTTGCCAACGCGGTAATGATATTGTGGATATTTTTGTTGTCTGACAACCTTCATTTTTTCACTTTTGTCCATCTATTTTATTAAAATTATTTTTAGATCGGTGCCTCTTTGTATGCCAGTAATATTGGAAGTCTGCATTTTGTTGGAATGGCCGGGTCAGCAGCTGCTTCGGGCATAGCTGTAGGAAATTATGAACTAAACGTAAGTATCACATACATGAATATTTTGCCAGATAACTGTGTAGTGAATATATACCAAGTTGTGAGCGATATTGTTCAAATTCATTTTTACAAGAATAGTTTTGGCAGGTACATGATAATAAAATATGTAATACAAAAATGTCCATTGGAAAGGAGGAAACGGTGGATTGTTTGCACATGTACAGACACCACGAGAGAATATTGGGTGACATGGATATGTTATATTGTTATATTACCCTATATATCTAAAGAGTATTCATATGTATGTATGGGTGTGTGTGTGTGTGTGAGAGAGAGAGAGAGAGAGAAATGGGGTTTAACGTCCACTCAACACAAACTAGGTCATTTCGGGACTAACATATGGTTTAATTTTATTTCAATAATTCGCTTGCGCATAGGGGTCTTTATCAGTGGGAGGAATCCGGAGGACCGGGAGAAAACCCGCGAGGTTGGACAGGCGACCCTACACCTTGTCACGTACAACCGGGGATTCGAAACCACGCCAGTTGACTCAATGACAGGCTTTATGATACAGCGCGCGCACGCTAACCATTCAGCCATCCAAACCCCCATGTATGTATGTGTGTATGTATGTATGTATGTATGTATGTAGGTAGGTATAAATAAATACAATTTTCCACTTTATTGCATACTGACATACATGCATAATAAGTCTAGTTATGTCTGTTACAGTAACCAGACAACCATCTATCAGTTTTTATCACGCGCAAACTTGATGTGGATGTTAGTGGTTCATTTCTGTTCAGTGTTGGGGCCACGGGGTTTAAGTGGGTAAGACACTGGCTCGCTAGCCTGGAGGTCGCTTGTTCGATCCCTGCATTGGACAAGAAAATTCATAGGGATTTTCCGACGTGTTTCAGGACGGAGGGTCTAACACGGACAGCTGTCTAATCGTTCGGATGGGACGAAAAACCGAGGTCCCGTGTATACATTGACATGCACGTGACAGATCTCCTGGCAGCTGTTATTCGATTTAAGAGTTGGCCATAGTGCCGCTGCCCGAGCAAAATTTCCCTCATAGCACACAGTATGGCGTATGTCAGTCTTCATTAGCAGTCGGAGCAGAATAGTAGGACGTAAAACCCCATTTCTCTTCATTTCTGTTCAGTATTGGAAAGGGGGTAAGAACGAATGGTTGACGCGTGCGCGTTGGAACAGAAGGGCTGCATGGAGTCAAGTGGCGTGCTCTCTCTCTCTCTCTCCTAATTAAATTTTAAATAATCAATCTGAGTACGTATAAGCGTCAAAAAAGCCTTAAGACAAATTTCAATATTGCACCGTTGCTTTAATTTAACGCTAAACCAGTTCTCTCCTAATTGTTTAGGATATTGGCCATTATTAAAAAATATATAAGCCTATAGGTAGCGTTCTTACCAATAAGTCTCATGCAAACCCTAAAGTAGTAGAAACAAAAGGTGCTTATTCCACGTCCATCTGCCAGACGATTAAACTAGAAGTTATTCTCCATTAAAAACCCTAACAACTCATGATATGCGAGTATAAATTCAAATACGCCACTGCCAATGAAACCAGCACATATGTCTCCACGGGCTCAAAAACGTTCCCAGTAAATTTGCCTTTGAAATGTACACAGGAAGAACAAATCAAACCTTTTATGAACACCATTTCAATTCTTTTGATGCAATATTACAAATCAAGTGATTGACCAATTGCTTCTTTTCCATTTTAAATGGGGGTGGGGTGGGGTGGGGTGGGGGTGGCTGAATGGTTAGCAAGTGCGTGCTGTATCATAAAGTCTGTCATTGAGTCTACTGGTGTGGTTTCGAATCCCCAGTTGTACGTGACAAGGAGTAGGGTCGCCTGTCCAACCTCGTGGGTTTTCTCCAGGTCCTCCGGTTTCCTCCCACTGCTAAAGACCCCTACGCGCATGTGAATTATTGAAATAAAATTGAACCATGTGTTAGTCCCGAAATGATCTAGTTTGTGTCGAGTGGACGTTAAACCCTATTTCTCTCTCTCTCTCTCTCCATTTTAAATGGTGCCTCAGTGGAGTATGGCGTTGGCCGAGAAAGTTACTCGGGATTTGTCTTGTTTCCCCCGTATCAGTTGTGCAAGAAAAACGTACATTGAAGAAAACCCAAGCTCCCGTGTATACGTTGAAAATCAAAATTAGAGTTATAGACCTTGTGGCCTCGGTCAAAGCAAAGGTACCCTCATATAGCCTACTGCATGACCCGTCTTCGTTTGCGCATTTGTTGCATAAATAAAAGACGTAAAAGCACAAAAGCCCATTTGATTGCACTTTCATTAAAAAGAAAAAAGTAAATCCAAAGAAATCCATTCCAGAAAGCTAGAATCAACAGTATAGTGGAATCTATTTGGCTGTGGATGTGGTTGTTGACACGTCATATGTTATTATGATTTACCTAAAGACCTACAAGTACAATTATACCATTATAAGAAAAACTGCTCCATTTGTACTCTTCGTGTAAATACTTTAGGCAGTTATATGATGTAACAGTGCTAACGAGGTGATGCTATCTAAATGGTTATAGTGATACAATGTTAAGCGTCGTACTGCTCCATCCGTGCTAATGAATACATGCATACGCCATGCACTGAGCTATGAGGCTTTATGGTCGTCAAGGGTTATTTTATGTGCACGCTAGTGTGTACACGGGACCTTAATGTTTCTTCATATGCGAACTACTAGGTACTGATCCGCCCCAGACCGTCTATATCAAATGGAAAAGCTGCATAGATATACAATGCACCACAAAATAGGATGGGAACGGAACGCGGGGTGGTTTAGGCATGTAACCAATATAACGTATTCTTAAGGTCACCGACAGATCAATTTATTTCTGATAATTGTCAGGCAAGAAAATGAGAGCAAGCAATGTTATGTTATTGTCTGTCCTTTGTCTCCAGAAGACCCATGGTCAGATCTAAATTTTAAGGCGACAAGGCGTCTTGGTCAGTGGCGGATTAAGCTCCACCAAGGCCTGAGGCGGCAGTTGCTGGAGGGCCTATTTAGTTTTTAAATAGGGCCTATTTAAAATGGCGTGGGCCTAATTAATTTCGGGTCAGGGCCTATGTTGATTCCCGGTGGGCCTAAACCCAACCCCCCTAACATTCATTTTCTATGCGTTTTTAATCGTATCAGACAAAATCTTTGGGCCTGGGGCTGCAGCCTCATCAGCCTCACTGATAATCCGCTACTGGTCTTGGTGAAGACTTGCAGTATACAGCGATGAATTGTGGACGTCGATAAGATATCGTCAATAAATATCCGGTATGTGTGCTGGATTTCTTGAAAGTTGTATTACCCAAAAGCCTACCTCCACATACATGTATTAAATATTCAATATTTAATTTTATTATATTTGCAGGCTATATTTGTGTTATTATTGTTGGGATATATATTTCTGCCAGTATATATTGCATCCGGGGTAAGAGGTTATCTATATAGCATAATAATTCTCACTGTTGTATTATAGAAAATAAATATAGCACCCGAGCAGCTGTCACTCAGTCTCTTCTATAAAATTAATTTAATTTTGTTGCACACTTGAATGGGCGCGTTGGTATACATTAGACTTGAGTGGGGGTTTTAACATTTAGCCTAATTTTAACCAGTTGCTATGAAATTCAGACATTACATTAGTACTTAACATTAAATGTGTAGATATTCTATGCTATAAGAGAACCATGTGGAAAAGAAGTGACAGATTTGATATGGCAGACTTTTTGCAGTATACTGATATTGATGTCAGAATATTTTTTTATTGGTGTTTGTCATTTTTTCATAATATTTTCTATTGTAGGTTTTTACTATGCCTGAATATTTACGTCGACGATTTGGTAGAGAAAGAATCTCTGTATCTCTTGCGGTATTGGCCTTATTAGTGTATATCTTTACTAAGATATCGGTAAGTTGGATACAACGGTTACTGACCTTTGTATGAAATACGTTTTTTTAAAGACTACTTTTGAATATTTATGATCAACATTAGCCTACATCATTGTCTAAGCATGTTTTCAGTATGCGTGCATGTTACTGCTTTAGAATATAAAGTATCTAATATTGATATAGGATTAATACATGCTAGAATATATATTAATGTTTATAATAAAGTACTGTATATCTATATTTGGTATCTGTAAACATAGACATACAGTAACTATTTAATTTCTTGTCATTCAAGAACAAAAATTACAGGTTATTGTAACTAGGTGAGCACTAATACATGTTCCTTCCTAGACAGTGGTCCATTTTCTTTGAGTTAATATTACTTTACATCTGCATTGAATCGGAGTAAATCTTTTCTTTCCAAATATAAAAAGACAATCTGAAAAAGTAAACATAAGAGGGTTGGTAGACCTGGAGATAAATCTAATGAACGCATGACTATGAATCTGTAAATTACTTTCCAGAAAATACATAACAATATTGTTATACGCCCACATATTCATGTGGACGTATATTGTCATGAATTGTGACTCTTTGAATGTACAAAAAATCGCGTTTTTAGCTTGTTGTCTCTCAAGAGGTCATAATTATTATCCGATTTAAAAAAACCCGTTACACCGTAATGTTTATTGAGTTCGAAATTTGTGAAAATCGGACCAAAAGTGCTAGACAACATGGCTGCCCCTCGTACGCAAATAGTGTAAACATCTGGTAAATCAAGGTTGTGGACCCTCTAGAGGTCACAGTTTTTTTCCGATTTTGATGAAAATTTATACACAGCGTTTAAGGTCATGAGACGAAAACTCCTATTGATTTTCAGCGATTTCCTATAATTTTTGCCAGAGTTATGGCCCTTGATCACTTTAAAAAATCTTGTGGACGCTCTAGAGGCTACAGTTAACATCCGATTGACTTTAAATTTATACACAGTACAGTGTTTAAGGTCATGAGATGAGGAAGCGTATTGATTTTCAGCGATTTCCGATAATTTTTGCCAGAGTTATGACCCTTGATCACTTTAAAAAATCTTGTGGACGCTCTAGAGGCTAAAGTTAATATCCGATTTACTTTAAATTTATACCCAGTGTTTAAGGTCATAAGACGAAAAAGCCTATTGATTTTCAACGATTTCGGATAATTACTGCCAAAGGTATGGCTCTTGATCACTTTGAAAAATCTTGTGACGCTCTAGAGGCTAAAGTTATCATCCGATTGACTTCAGATTGATACACAGAGTTTAAGGTCTTGAGACGAACAAGTATATATTGATTTTCAATGAATCTTTATGACTTGAATAGCTAATTCCATGAGGTTAAAAGTTTCGTATACTAAACGTTAGCATGGGGCAGAACTTTATAAAAAACAAACAAATTCTAATGGTTTTCTGATAATTACTCAATGAGTTGTGACTCTTAATCAGATTTTAATGTATTATAAATGTTTCATTACCGAAAAAAGTAAAAATATGCGACAACTCTTGTTGACTGCCCGGACGATATAGCTGCTGTGGGCGTATGTTTCGTTGCCTGGCAACCTATCTTTTAAATTTTGAAAACCTTTTATAAACACTTCTAAATAATCTACAGTATAGAAATGACAGGGAATGTGTCTTATATCGTATTTTCTGGAACGTAATTTACAAATTCATAGTCATGCGTTCATTTTGTTTTCAGAATGTTTTTTGTATGCCTTGGCAGAATATAAAAGTATTTTCTTAGAGATACGAAACTGATATGGGAAATAACTCATTAGTTGAGACAAACTTCAGTACATGTATATATACTATTCAAAAAAAGTAGGGGATATTTGATTTTGGGGGCATAATACTAAAATATGCAAATGACTACGAAAAAAGTCACTATAGAACCTAACAGAAGAAACATTTCCAGTTACATGTGACGCCCAAACGCACCAATAGCTACCGCATGGAATGCAGGTGATGCTTGGGATCATCATGGGGGTCCAACCCAAGATTTGCACGACTCTGACTTTGAATGTTACAGTCATTGTGGCATTGAATTCCAGGGTGGAAACATCAGTTTAATTGTTTTAGTGACCAGAAAACAAATTTTGATATGCGTCGGCTTACCCAAAATGAAAGGTTACGTGCCCTTGGCATGCTACAGATCGGCACAACACAGGCGGTTGTGGCGCGGACGATGAATGTTTCTCAGTCTGTCATAAGCAGGCTATGGTCCAGATACCGTGATACACAATCTGTACAGGACAGACCACGCTCAGGTCGACCAAGGGCGACAACTCAAGCCCAGGATCGATTTATCCGTACCTTGGCCTTGAGAAATCGTGTCATCACAGCAAATCAGATCAGCGCTTGTCTTCAAACAGACACTGGTGTGAGAGTGAGTGGCCAGACGATTCGGAATCGACTGCATAGGGGTCACCTTCGCGCCCGACGTCCTCGCGTGATCCCTTGTTTGAGAGATCATCACATTCAGGCAAGACGTCGTTGGTGTAGGGATCGTTAACACTGGGATAATCGACGCTGGAGCAATGTGATGTTTTCAGATGAGTCAAGGTTCACTGTTGATTTTTTGGACAGACGTAGGAGGGTGTGGCGTCGTCGAAACGAGCGCTTCCAAGACGTTAACGTCATCAGACATGATCGATTTGGAGGTGGTTCTGTTATGGTGTGGGGAGGCATCACTGTTGCTGGAAGAACGGCTTTACATGTTGTTGCAGGGCGTGTTACAGGCCAGTACTATCGGGACAACATCTTGGCAGTCCATGTTGTGCCGTTCGCACGACGTCATGGCCGCCGTTTCATCTTCCAGGATGACAACGCAAGATGTCACAGGGCCAGGATCGTTACAGGTTACCTCCAACAACAGAACATCACCACATTACCTTGGCCAGCACTGAGTCCCGACCTCTCCCCCATCGAGCATGTCTGGGACATGCTTGGACAGAGGTTACGTCAACGTCAACAACGTCCTGCCAATGTCCAAGAACTTGCTGCTGCGTTGCAACAGGAATGGGACAATCTGGACCAAAATGACCTTAGACGTCTCATTAGGAGTATGCCACGTCGGATCAATGCTTGTTTGGCAAACAGAGGAGGATTTACCCGTTACTGACTTGGTTGTGATGCTGTGGTAACTTTGCTGTTTGACCCCGGGTATCATTTTACCCTTATAATGGTCAGTCTGTGCCTTACTTAGTCTAACGATCATTTGGAATAAATCGATGAATGTGAACTTCATTTCATTTTGTCATTTGTTTCTTCGTCAGTTTCATTAGGTGACTTTAATAACACTTAAAAATCAAATATCCCCTACTTTTTTTGAATAGTATATATAGGTCATGATAAAAGTGCTTCATTGTCGGCGTCACCAATTAGCATTTTATGAACGTGACCCTCAAACAGTAGACACTAATATTATCTCATACACTCAACCATAAATAAGTTTCTTTGAATTTGCGAAATTGTATATAATATTCCCTGCATGTGTCTATATAATATGTAGACCTGTCTTGAAGTAAAGTGTGTAAAGGCGTAAGGCTTATGAAATGTTCCAGTAAAATAACAGAATTTGTTTCCAGTTCAAGAGAACCAAAGTTTGGTTTCCATTCCCCCAATAGGTACTCATCATGTATTGTCATAAAACCCGTTTTGAATTCCAAGCCTATTTTACTTCATAGCAATTGAAAACAAAAAGTGAGCATTGAAAAGCCTAACTGAAATTATACACATACTCTTTAATTCAGAAATAATACAAAACTGCGGAAATGCACTGCTGTTTTTATTAGAGGTAACCATTGTATGTTAATAACAGGCCAATTGCCTACACATGAACATAAACAGTTTATTTGGGCGGCTTATCTGACGGCCCCATTTCACTCGCAAAGAGATACACCGTCAAAAGTGAAAATGGACGTTTTTGATTTTTGTCTTAATAACGAGTAATTGCTCCACCAATCTTCAGAAATTCAGCAATTCGCCGTGGCATGCTCCTGAACAACCGTCCAATCACGATTTGGGGCAATCCGACCCACACCCCTTGCAGTGCGACGGCCAATTCTTGCAGTGTTGTCGGTTGACGTTGATGTTGACGAACACGTCTCACGATCAAATTAAACGTGACACACTAAAGCAAAGATACGCTAAACAGTAAATCATATGTAAGAACCGATAGGAATGCTAACATGGATAGATAAACCAGCACGCGGCAGTTTTCATCAACCCTTCCTTGAAATGTCAAATTTGACAATGAACCCCTCCCACGTGTATGGCGCTATTGCGTGTCGCATGTGCAGCTCATTGGTTATGTCGGGGCGATACGTTCTTCATCCGTGAACATACTCTCAAAGCATGTCAAGTGTCCATGACTATTTATCATATCACAACCTGCATAGGTATTTGCATTTCAATATCCCTTACTTTTTTTGAAGAGTATATTTTCGTTGCGAAACTGTGCATTCTACACGGTTTACAAAATGATCCTCATCCCTGCGTTATATTTATTAAGAAGCCATTAAGATGTGATATGTGTGGATAATAAATCGAAGTGTTTAGGACATCAAAAGCTAAATGTTTTATAATTTCCTTTGGGACCATGTGGTTGCACACGGTTCACTCACCCCGGAGACCGGCACTTTATTCGACTTATTATTTTTTTCAATTACAGGCTGATCTTTATGCGGGTGTTATATTTATACAACAGTCATTAAGATGGGATATGTATGGATCTTTAATCTTATTGTTAGGTATAGCAGCGTTATTCACTATCACAGGTATGTTCACCTACTATTCTGTTACCTTTTACAAGAATAATCTTATTTTCATAACCGCGAAAACTCATAATGAAAACTTTCCCTCACAGCACACTGTATGGCGTATACCCATCTTCATTACACTATAAACCTCAGAATGCCTCGTTCGGCAAAAACGTGTTAAAGTTGCCATGTTCTTGGGACGAGGTATTTTGTCTAGACCGAGGCTGTTCACAAGGTTGGATACATGATTTTTCAAAGGGTATCGAGGACAGCATGCTATTATTTGGTGACACTTTCAAGCGATTATGTAGAAAAAAACCACAAGGCAAAGTTTTGACTAGAAATGACAATCGTTGCATAAAAAGAGTTTGTTACATTCTTTGTTGGAGTTTCATATGTTCACACATTATTTCCAACAAAGAGATGTGAGAAATGAAAAGCAGCCACGTTCAAAGTTGAGCGAACTTAATAATTGTATTTTAGGTTTTTGAATATTATTAATTACAGATATGCTGTTCCTGTTTTATATAATAAACGACGGTTTTAAGATCAAAACGTATCACGTATATTGAGTTGGTTGCTCGGCCCAAATGTCGAAGATTTTAAGGGCTTTAACACAAAATTAAGCAGTTTTGTTCTCCAAAATATAGTCCAGATCGACCCTTTAAATAAGAATGCAGACGTAGGCCGGTCACCCGAATGATGAAAATGTAATTAGCATTCTTAATAATGTTGTTCACTTTGCTTGTCATTATATAAACATAAATTGTGTCTATTTCATGTTTCGATGGAATTTAATTGGCCGTTCAGATACTGCTTTTGCAATTTTTATACATACAACTGAATGCCAATTACATACAATTTCATGAAATATATTAAATATAATATCGTTTATTATATAAAAACAGGAACAGCATATTTGTAATTAATAATTTTCAAAGACCTAAAATACAATTATTGATTTCGCTCCGCTTTGAACTTGGCTGTTTTTCATTTCTCACATCTCTTTGTTGGAAAAATTGTGTGAACAAATGAAATTGCAACAAAGAATGTAACAAACTCTTTTTATGCAACGAATGCCATTTCTAGTCAAGACTTTGCCTTGTGGTTTGTTTTCTCTACACAATCGCTTGAAAGTGTCACCAAATAATATTATGCTGTCCTCGATACGCTCGACGAGACTTTGGTTTTGCTGAACCCCATCCCAAACCCTTTTAAAAAGTCATGTATCCATCCTTGTGAACAGCCTCGTTCTGGACAAAATACCTCGTTCCAAAAACATGGCAATTTAAAAAAAAAAAACGTTTTGGAACTCCAGACAAACGTGGCATTTTGTTTTTACCACGTTACAACGTGGCAAAATTGTGGCAAAAATGTTAACACGTTTTTGCTACGCTTGGACCAGTCGGGACAAAACAGTAGGACGTTAAAGGGACAATAACACTCTTACTGGCTTGGCAGCTCCAGAAAATAAAAAATAGCCTTTTTCTAAGTACTAGATGTGTTAGTGTCCTACCTGTTGTGTAAATTATCCATTAAATTCTATTTTACTTGTCCAAAGGGTTCAAAAATATTTTTAAACCCAAGTCACATTTGAAAAGCTTTACGTCAGGCTTTTCAAATCATTCAGTTGAATTTTTCCAATTTTTTAAATTAGGTGTGTTAAGATGAAATTTGTATCATCAATTAATTGGAATATTGTAAAATAGTACAATTTGTTGACCAGAATAAAGATTGGGACATATTATTCAGTTACAACAAGAGTGGTATTGAGCCTTTAAACCCCATTTCATGGCATTTACCTATAAAAAATACAAAAGAAAGTAGAATAGATTATAAGAAATAAATCGGGTTTGGCAATTAATAAACTTTGTTGCTCACGTTAATAAAATGGAATTGGAACTTGTTTTCTGGTACTAAAGATCAGCCGTACAATGGGGCGGCGGTGACCCAGAGGCGCTGGCTCGCTAAACGGAATGTCTTGGAAATGAAATGGAGTTTAACGTCCTACTGTTCTGTTCCTAACTGGGCTAATGAAGACGGGGAATGTCTTGGGTTCTCTCTCTGTGTTGGCCGAGAAAGTTCCTTGGGATTTTACGGCGCGTTTCGCGTTGTCAGTGGCGCAGGACGGAGGGCCTTACAAGGACAGTGTCTAGTTCGAATAGAACGAAAACCCGAAGTCCCGTGTAAATATTGGCGTACACGTTAAAGAATGATTGACAGATGGAATTCGCTGCAGAAAAATAGGACTTTACATCCCCATTTCATTCCAATGCATAGGTTGAACTGTGGTGATATTCGGTTAATTTCCTTTCGTTCATAGACTAGTCGTCCTGATGGGGGGTGCGAATAGAACCCTTGGCAGTTGGAATTTGTAATAAGAGTAGGCAGTATTGCCGCTGTCCCTACAAAATTTCTCTCATCTAGCACACTGCATTAGCTCTATCGGGTTTAGCATAACCTACATCATGTGTACAAATTTCACACGAGAAATGTCATCTTCTTTTTATATATTATTTTAGGTGGTTTAACGGCTGTTATATGGACAGATTTTATACAGACAGTGATCATGTTAACTGGAGCCTTTGTATTAATGATAATAAGTAAGTTATTACAATATCATACACCCTGCTTTAATTTGACGGGTTTATTTGATTCAAGTAACCGTAAACGTTAAAGCAAGTTATTAAAAAAACATTGAATAAAACCTACAGTCTTTATACTATGTCTTCCGTGTCCTGAAGCGATGTTTTGACTTGAGTCAGTAAAATAGAGATACTTGTAACATGGTGTCCCTTTGAAGCTTTAATATGGAGATTTACTGAAGAGTTAACATAATTGTTACCCAGTTAAATTGATATGATATACAGACTTAGAAATCTATAGCAAAGTTGGTATCCCATAGTCGACGTGTTGGTAAAAAACAATGGGATTCTAATCCAATGCTCACTCTGTTTTACTTGACTCTTAGGTCCAACTTTGATATTTGGCTTGGGTTTTTATTTCCATATGTGTGTTACATGAGTGATATCTGGGACAGTTGGCTTGGGTTTCATGTCTATATCTCCGATATTTTGTTTTACTTTGGTGATCTCAAACACAAAGGGGGTGAGGAACTTGTCGGCTTCAAACTTGGACTATATCTCCGACATAATTCTGATATTGTATTCAGGTTTTATGGCAGTTGGTGGTTTTGAAGCTATGGTGGAAAAATATCCTTTAGCTATAGCTAATTCTACTCTAGCTAGTAATTATACCATGAATACTACATGTGGTCGTCCCAGGGATGATTTCCTCGACCTAATGAGAGATCCTGTAAAAGGAGACATACCCTGGCCTGGATTAATAGGCGTGGTCATCAATTCTATATGGTATTGGTGCTCTGACCAGGTTGGTGTTTCATTTTATATAATTTGATTTCTAAGTCAATGAAAGATGGCCAGGGTTTCTCACTTATGGCAATCCAAGTAAACGACCCTTTTTATAGTTGGACAAATCGAATTCTCTCTTGGATTATAGGCATTATCTATCAGAAAGGAAACAAAATTACATACATACCTACGCCAGACCAATTTAATATTTAGTTCTTTGGGGATAAATAGTTATACTCTTAAAGATTTTGCTGAAACTTTTAATACCTAAAAGGTTTTAAAACTTCAATATTTTGAGAAGAACAAACATCCATTCTTGTCTTTAAATTATTTTGTTTCCCACAACAAATAGAAAGCAAAGGTGTTTTTGAACAGTGTCGGATTTACGTATAGGCTTGACAAGTTAAAGCCTAGGGCTTTAAGATCTAGGTGTCCTTCTGCTAAGGTGTATAACATTTTTGACTCTGGCATACAGTATAGTCTTAAATAACCGACATCATCCTCCGCTTTGCTCAATTGTGTTTAAAACAAACTTTCATCTTAGTCGCGAATGTGGGGGATTGGCTGGGGTCTGTTTCGGACGAATAAAAGTTTAATTTGATGTGGCCCTAGTGGCTGAATATGACCTAGCTTAAATTCAGATAGTAAGATAAACAACCAAGATAAAGGGTCAGTAACGATATTAGTGCACTTTATTCTCTGTTTCTATTAGAATGTATGTTTGTAGCGATCCGATAACAACATAAAACCATTACATGTCATATGAATAATTTAACCACAAAGTGGTTTTCACCTGTGTATATGACACGTGATTAGATATCTTGATTTGTTATTTCCAGGTTATTGTACAGAGAACTTTAGCCGCTAAAAATTACGATCATGCTAAAGCTGGGACCATTCTCTGTGGCTTCATCAAATCATTTGGATTGTTTTTTCTTATATTTCCTGGAATGATTGCTAGAATCTTATACACGGGTAGGTATGACATACAGAACATTAAATAATACCATTCATAGGAAACCTGGGGATCCGTGGGATGGCTGGGAAGGAGTGCGTGAATTTAAAAGATGGTCCAAAATAGGTAAGAAACCAACCACTTGGCTAAATGAAAAAAAAAACAATGAATACACCCGTGCCGTGACGTCTACTATCAGTGACAATTATGATAATAACAACTCCACGCTAAATACTAATTAGGGAATCAGTTTAAGGACATATTAGACACTGGTGCAGTGTATTAGCATATTTCAGTTTATATTATGTCATGACCTATCTGTTCGAGTCCTATATTTCAATTTAGAAACTCTCTGTTATAATGCCCTTCTCACACCATAATAAAAAAAACAGATTGGATTCTGTCTACTGCTAAAGACCCCACCCCACCCCACCCCCACCCTCAGTTTATATAATAAGTCATAACAACGGAGCATGACCTACCTGGCTGAGTCCTATATTTCAATTTAGAAAATCTCTGTTATTCTGTACTTCTTACACCATAATCGTAAAAACAGATTGGGTTCCTTCTATTGCTAAAGACGCCCCCCTCCCACCCAGTAAATCACATACCACCAGACCCCCCAAAAGAATGTTTAACTTACAAGCTTCCACTACAGTAAACAAATAGGAAATATAGCACAAATATTCACCCCATGACTGTAGTTTTAAACCAACTTCCGTCATATCTACCATCTGAAATATTCCAAGACAGACTGAGACATTTTCCTTTATTTTCAACTTTACGAATAAGCCTATTGAATTTTAACAATTTCTGTTAATTACCTTTAGAGTTATGGCCCTTGTTTCACTTTGTTGAACCCCTTGTCAAGGCTCTATGTATTGGTGATTTCTGTCCGTTTAGTATCATGTATATGCTCTAGAGTCATACTAAGACAACTTGTTTGGATAACTTTTGCGATCTATATGAAGCGGGAGTTTTTTTCTTTGTCCATATTTTAAAATATTTTACAATGGGGAAAAATAACTGACGAAGTCGTAAGTGTATATAAAATAATGACCTCTATGATATGACTTTGTAGAATCTGTGGCTTGTGCTGATCCTGATGTTTGTATGGAGGTTTGTGGAAGTAGGGCAAGTTGTGCAAATGTTGCTTATCCACTACTTGTTATAAACTTACTACCAGCAGGTATTTATACTTGTTATAACTTTACTACCAGTAGCTATTTTTACTTTTTATACCAGCAGGTATTTATCCTTGTTATAAACTTACTACCAGCAGGTATTTATACGTGTTATAAACTTACTAACAGCAGGTATTTATACTTGTTAACAAATTAACGATCAACAGGTATTTATACTTGTTATAAACTTACTACCAGCAGGTATTTATATACTTGTTATAAACCTACGATCGGCAGGTATTTATACTATATACATGTACTTAAAATGGGATTATCACTCTCAGCAAGAACAATGCCACTTTAAATAAGTAACACGGAATCGACTCTCACAGGGTAATTCCTATATCATTAACATCATAATATTTGGATCACTAACATTGTGATTTTCTCCACCCGATATTACATGATATGTATTTGGACCGTAACGTTGCAATGTATTAAATATCTGACTTATTGATATTTTCATCAAATGTCGACAGATATCTTTTTGTCAAATTGCCACATAAAAATGATCGAAATGAAAGCTATATCTGGTCTTTATCATTATTTTAACCATCAATATAATTTATGCAAGAAAATTAAATGGCAAATATTAAGAGTATAGGAAGCCAGTTTGGTAATTTTATTTATCTTCCCTTATTCTTCTGACAGTTTATATTACTTTTTAACAGGTGCAAGGGGGTTGATGTTGGCGGTTATGCTATCAGCCTTAATGACGTCATTGACGTCTATATTTAATAGCAGTAGTACTATATTCGCTATGGATATATGGACCAAAATTAGACGAAAAGCGTCGGAATTGGAAATCATGATTGTGGGCAGGTATTTTACAGTTATCTTTAGTGTTCACTTAAATTTTGATTAAGTGTCAGTATCTTTTAAATGCCAGGTTCTAAACAAAGGATGAATGTCTCTTATAACGTGCTTCGGTTGCTTGTATTTGTCAGAGAGATCAGGAATTCCCCATAGTTGAATTAGAACTTGTACCGATAGTGTTTAATCTTTCTTAGGAACCATTGGTACCAGGGGCGGATCCAGGAATTTTTGCAGGAGGGGGTTTGCCAGGTTCCTGAGACAATGTATCTCCATCACCTCCCGCATGGTCTCTATCGTCATTTTGGCGTATATACATACACATTGAGCTTTTTAAACAGAGAAATTCAACACCTCGTTTGACGTTAATTTTTATTATGAATTAACACAATGACATTGTGATTCAATTTCATGGATGCAAACCATTAATTGTGATATCACATAATGTCTATATCATTATCTCGTGCTTTGAGTGCCCATTCTGTCCCACATCTGACGATAAAGGATAAAGCACACGGCCGTGAAACTTTTCTTATAAAAAGTGTTGATTTACAAAAAAATTTATGTAGCTGAGCAGGGGGGACTATGTCTTCACAACCACATAATAGAAGAAAATATATCAAAATTGTAATATCTTTGTTGGTCGTAGTAAACACTTTGTTAGCTGGGGTTATCTTCTACACATGGTGCCACTTGCGTGATGCAGGACAAGCTTGGTAGAACACGTGATATCACTTCATATTTGAGGATTTTAATTAACTTATAAATGACGACAAACATGCGAGAGGCAGGACTGACATACTCTTGGTCATAGGCGTAGGAGCCGGGGGGTGGGGGGGCAATTTTTCCCCCCAAAAAATTTTATTTTCGGGCAATGAAAAATTCCACGACCTTTTTTTTCTATTAACGTTTACATAAAAAATATAACTAACTTATTTCTATGAGATCCACACTGCCCGAAAAGTATTTTCTCGTCTTTTTCTTGTCTACTGCATGCCCGAAAATATGCCCGAAGCTCTCTTATGATATGTATGCCCGAAAAAACGGTATTGCCCCCCCCCCCCCCAAATTTATTTTCGGGCAATGAAAAATTCCACGACCTTTTTTTTCTATTAACGTTTACATAAAAAATATAACTAACTTATTTCTATGAGATCCACACTGCCCGAAAAGTATTTTGTCGTCTTTTTCTTGTCTACTGCATGCCCGAAAATATGCCCGAAGCTCTCTTATGATATGTATGCCCGAAAAAACGGTATTGATTTCGGGCAATTTTCTCTTATGCCCCCCCTGAATTACTTTGAGCTCCTACGCCTATGCTCTTGGCAGAACATATGATATCACTTCTTATTTGAGGATTGTACTTAACTAGTTAATGACGACACACGTGCGCGAGGCAGGAGAAGCTTACTTTTGGTAGAACAATATCACTTATAGGAGCTAATACGTGTAACATTATTTTTACAGGGTATTTGTATTATTTTTGGTGGTTGTAAGTATAGTGTGGATACCAGTACTACAGGCATCACAAGGTAGTGATCTGTATGTATATATACAGGAAGTTTCTAGTTTTCTACAACCACCAATTTGTGCCATCTTTTTACTTGGTATATTTTGGCCCAGGCTTAATGAAAAGGTTAGTGAGGAGTTATATGTCCCGGTTTTTTTAAATACATGTTTTGCGGATACATAGATAAGTGTATCATTCCCTTTGTGGACAGTTCTGCTGTTGTGGGGGTATTGTTTATAGGACGTTGATGACACTTTGTCTATTTTACTGGTTTTAAACTAGTGTATGTGACAAGGAGTAAGGTCGCCTGTCTAACCTCGTGGAATTTCTCCCACTGCTAAAGACTCCTACACGCAAGCGAATTATTGAAATGACCTTAGTTTGTGTCGAGTGGACGTTAAACCCCATTTCTCTCACTCTCTCTCCCTCTCTATTATTATTACGGTCGAAACACGTATTGTTTTCGTGTTTTTATTATTTCTCAACGGATCTTTTTCGGGTTTTCATTTTTGGTTTCTTTGGACGGATCCCGTATGGGCTCTGACGGTTTTTGGAAATCCGGAAGATCGCTCGATTAGTTTTAGCATCAAAGATTTGTGAAAGTTTTCTTCATCATATTTTCGACATTCAAGATGGCGTATCTCCGTCGTCACTATTTGAGGTATCAAATTGAAACTTGGTAGGAATAAGGAACACATCGATGCCTTCAAATTGGCATATTAAAAGACTTTGTGACGGCTGCCGGAAATTAACGAGGCCTTCCGATTTTTCCGGAACATGAATAGTTCTCGTCATTTTAAAAATAGACCAAAAATGACATATGGTTGTGTTAGCTCCAAATATTATCTTTCATTTTCAGAGACTTTGTTCCGTAGCATTTTTAACCGTTTGGTCGCCATATTAGATTTTACAAATATCGTTCAAATCGATATTCCGATTTTCCAAATGGCAACAATTTTTGAATTTCAATTTCATTTACTTCCAGTTTCACTTTGAATTTTATTCGAATTTTGACCTTCTATCTGGTGATCTAACTTTTCAATGACACTTGACCTTTGTATATATGATGATGACCCTGGTGTCAACTAACAGTTAATATCAAAAAGTTCGGTCATGAAGTATAACTTCCAGTTTTATTAAGAGTTTAAAATGACAAATTTTTCCACTTCAATAGGTATTGGATGTTACTATACTCAATAATTCATGGTGGAACTTGATTGTTGACGTGACAAGGCGTGACCTGACGTGCTGAAACACGTCAGCACTCCTTCGTAGTTCTAGTTTTATTTTCTATTTACGGACTTTGAGGTAGACAGAACGCTCTTTAAGTTCGATGTTACAAAATATTTCAAATTATTTATTTTATTCCATATCCTTAAAATCAAATCAAAAAAGAAATGTTTATTTTCCCAACGGAAGAAAAATAGATGGGTATATACCCTTAATTTATTTTATGAATTCTCAGATTTGGTGAATCTAAATATAAAAAATCCAAGATATCGTGGAATCTAATACAGACATCGATAGTATCTCTTAATCAAAGGTTTACTTTTATTTTTGCAGATGCATTATGTAAGATTTAGATAAGAGCAGACCATTCTTCCTATAATAGTTTAAAAATAGATAATGAAACATGAATATATTGAAAATATTCGTCAAATTACTTTATTCTGAACGAAAATATCAATGTTTGAAGTATTAAATATAATATTTAACGCCAGCTAAATGCAGATTTAGCTCCTACGTAATGTATTTTTAATTCGATAATATTATTTCAGGGAGCATTTTTTTCTCTAGTAATTGGAATGGTAGCAGGACTAATTAGATTTATTATACAGTATTCATACACAATTCCGGACTGTGGTGGTCCACCAGATCCAACACCATCAATTGTAAAAGACTTTCATTATCTCTATTTCTCTTGCTTTCTCTTCCTGTTGACCGTTACCGCAGCCATTGTTATCAGTGTCCTTACCAAACCTATAGACAAACGATGTGTAAGTATATTACCTTTGATTAAACTCCATGTTCCTTCCATTTTGTATGAATTTGTTTGTTGGGTACCGTAATTGTGAGGCGCAGCGGTGGCTCAGTGACCAAGACGCTGTCTCGCTAACTAGGTTTCTAGGCATGTTTCTAGGCTGCTTGTCATTGATGAGGCACGTGGAATGAAATATCGTCTAGTCTTTTGGATTGTACGAAAAATCGATGTCCCGTTACACATTGACGTGCATGTAGACTGTCCCCATGGCATACGTCCGGTTTCGTTATCCCGGTTGATTCAGAAAAGTAGGAAGTAAAACCTCATTTCAATTTCTCAACAGAAACTGCTAAAGAGCTCTTCGGTGCAAGGAAGCGTATCTAACAAGATATTTATGTCTGCTCTGTTAACCATGGGACGTAAATTCGGTCCCAATCTGAATAAAATACAGATCTATATTTCGTTTCGTTTTTTATACTTTCGATGGCCTACACTACATGAAGATCTGACCGGTTGTTGCGATAGGTCACGTCAGAGGTCATACGAGCAGCGTTTGACCCTATGACGTCAGACATTTGATTAACCAATCAGCATTGATGTTACTAGTGAATTACCCACAGTTCCGTGCAAAACACGCCTAAAGCTCGCCGTAACATACCGTTTCATGGCTAATACCTCACACTATTCAGAACACGTCAATGATAACAACTCTTCCAGATCCTAGTGTAGTAAAAACCAGTAAAACGAAATTTTGAACTATAAAAACGAAACGAAATAGGATCTGTGTTTTAATCAGATTGATTCGGTCCTGATTGTGTTGAGTTGACACATGATTCTCTGTTTCCTTTCTCTGTTAAAGCTGTCGCACATCCTGTGATTTTTGTCGCCAACAGAAATTGCGATAAAATTGTCTTATTTCTGACAAAGAGACCAGCTGGGATGCGACGGTTTTTTTTCACTGAGTGTGCACTCGCCTTTTTGCCGAGGTGAGCCGGCAGCAACGGAAAGCCGTAAAGGTATGTGTGTTGAATTTGAAAGGTAAAAGAACTCATTTTCGACATATTCAAACTACTAAACATAACGATTTTGCACCTTTTGATATTCAGAAGAAAAAAAATCAGACTTGGTATATTCTCTCTAAAAGTTCTCTAAGCATATATTAGGATTCATGCTCGTCAATTAGCGGGCGGTTGGTGTCGGAAAATGCACAATTTAGCATCAGTTGTTAGCTGCCCTCGTTAGCCCAGTCGGTGCCGTTAAGTAGGACGTTAAACCCCATTTCATTTTATCAGCAACTTATGTATGAATTTACTTCTACAGCTATACAGGTTAACCTGGGAAACTCGCCACAGTAAAGAAAAATGTTTAGATATAAACAGGTGGCACAAAGAAGAACTAGAAAGTCCTGAAGTAGATAAAGTTCAGGAAGAGGGCGATTTAAAGGTTTCAGATACTGATGATGTTTTCCTGGAAGGTGATTCAGAAGCCCCTGCTGTTGAGCTCACACATTTTGCTCACATGAAAGATCTAGCTAACCATTTAATGCACTCCCACGGAGATTCAAACACCAAGTCCGTAAACAATGACGAGGAGAATGGATCAGTGAAAAAAGTCGATGGTGTTCATCAAGACGACAAAGCACCAGTAACAGAAAAATCGGTCTCCGTCACACCAGATGAATCAAAAGATGAGATTGTCATCAAAGGTAATATAATATTATTATAGACTTTTAAAACTGTGCGCATGCATACATCAGTACATTATGGCGCACCTAAAGCTCGCATTTTTTGTGTCAGATGTTATGTATATGACAATGTTGGGGAGATTGATACTACTGTCGTAAAGAAAAAAAATTAAACTACAAAAAAAAAAAGAAACGAAATAGAGTCTTTGTTTTAATCAAATTGGCTCTTAGATCGTGAAATAAAAGATTATGTGAAAGGCTTTGTCTTATTAAACATTTGGCGATTTGTGACCAGGCTGACTTGTGCATTGCCATTTATAGTTTCTGGAATAAAACCAATATACCTTCATTTGGTTGTATGTCATCCATCGACTTATAAGATACGGTGTGTATTTTCCTTTGCCCTTCAATGGAAGCACGTCTTTTTCAATTGCGTTTCTCTTCTATTTTAGACACGTTACCAATTCATAAGAAAATTTTCAACTGGGTGTGCGGGATTGATGAAGACTCGAGGGAAGCATTATCCAGTCATACTGTTATCCAGAACGACATGATATCGATAAAGGAAACACTTAAATGGAAATGGGGAACAAACCTTGCTTCTATATTTTTGATTGGAACTGCTTTATTTTATTACGTATACTTTTGGTAAATTACTTATCATTTTGCCAATGTAACAAAATGCAATTGTACTTCTATAGTTTGTACGCAAACTGCCTTATTGTACAACAAAATTATATTTCAAATATACATGTTGTTTTATTTGATTATAAGTCCCGGATAATTGATGTGGACTGGTCAAGGATTGCTCAGAGATGAAATGGATATGATGTACGTCGTATAAGGGATTGTGGTTGTTTCTTAATATGGATTGGGCTAATTTTACAGATATGTTTAGTTTGTATTAGGTCTGTATGACAACTTGTTGCAGCAACCACCGCGTAAATTATCGCTTTGTATGGTAAACGCAATGTTCCTATATTATGCTTAAAGATGGTTTCATATTATATGGAGATGGGAGGAAAGTGACTCTATGAAAAGTAATCTTTGTTTATAGAAATTTGATTTTAAATGGACAGTAATCTTACTTAGAAAAGTGACTATATGAAAAGTAACCCTTCTGTATAGAAAATTGGTTTAGTAATCTTTCTTGGAAAGTCACTATGTGAAAAGAAATCTTTCTCTACAAAAAAATTGGCTTAGTAATCTTTCTCGGAAAGCAGTCTTTCTTTGTAGAGAATTGATATAGTAATCATTTTTGGAAAAGCGACTATGTGAAAAGTAATCTTTCTTCGTAGAAAATTGATATAGTAATCTTTCTTTGAAAAGTGACAATATCAAAATTATCTTTGTATATAGAAATTTTATTATAGATGGAAAGTAATGTGTAACACTATCTTAGTATAACAGAGATCAGTTTAGTAAATACAGCATTACAACGGGAACAGAATATCACACCACTACATAATTACAACAGCAATACAGGTACTTAAACTATACCGGAACTAACTACATCAGGAACTAGACTACGACCGTAGTACATATAACTATATTAAATCCACCATTCTACCCCTCTGCTAAGGCAGCGGCTGAACTCGGGTGAGTCCATACACTCGTCCAAGCTCCTCTTCTGCTCCCCGCTCTTCTCTCCTGCTTATATAGCGTACGATAATTAGGGAAAATGGACAAGAGTGAATCATCATATATGGTATTGTTTATTTATCAGATTATGGTATCTGTAACTGCACTGCGTATTTCTTTTGAAGTCATGAAGTTCTGCCGAGTGTTACACAGATCATGTGTAGCTTGTAAAGGACATATTGAATTAATTACATGTTTAATAAGTCCGTGCCTTAACAGAAGTTTATACAGAGGTGAAACGTCAATATCATATAGTCAAAACTAGCAGAGGTCATGAAGTTCTATGCACTAATGATCGGTCAATTTGAATAAAGGTATAGATCACTTTGTCACAAATGTTGCTTAGAAAAGTGACTATATGAAAAGTAATATTTCTTTATAGAAAATTGATTTAGTTATCCTTCTTGGAAAAGTGACTATATCATATGAATATTAATCTTTCTTTATAGAAAATTGATTTTAAATGGAAAGTAACATACCAAGAAAACTTATTATATAGCAACGTAATTTTACTGAGACATCTGATTATTTAGAAAGTAATTTAATGGGTGATAAGTAATTTTACTCAGGATATGATTGGGAATGTATATTTTGATATACACTAGTATATTGATTTCAGTATTCAATGTAGAAACAATGTAGTGCCAATTAAAATTTATTTTTTAGTGATTTTCATATGATTGGATTTACTCTTTTTATGTTTTGTTGATTCAATTAAATAAACAATGCATAACATATATTTTAAGTGTGCATATTATTGAAGAAAAATTATATTCAGATGAAACAGTACGTGTTAGTCCCGCAATAACCTATAGTTTGTGTTGGGCGAACGTAACTAAAACCCATGTTCTCACTATAACACATGTAAATGGGGGGTTGGATGGTCGAATAGTCGAATGGTTAACACGTGCGCGCTGTATCATAAGGTCTGTCATTGAGTCAACTGGCGTGGTTTCGATTCCCCGGTTGTTCGTGAGAAGGAGTGGGATCGCCTGTCCAATCTCGTGGGTTTTCTCAGTGTCCTCCGGTTTCCTCCTACTGCTAAAGACCCCCACGCGCAAGCGAATTATTGAAATGAAATTGAACCATATGACCAAGTTTGTTTCAAGTGGACGTTAAAACCCATTGCTCTCTCCCTCTCTCGCACGTGTAAATATACATGCGGTTAAGCTAGACACGCATACGTGCGGGTGTTGTATTCATCGCATCACCGGACAGAAATTAACAGTGCTATCTGTCTTGTGAAACATGCCGCAACCGCATGACAGCGCCGTAACCGTCCAGTGACCATAGTCGGGTTAACACCTTTGAGAGCCTTAGGACTGAAAAGAACATGGTGGTTTTCCGGATATCTCCTTCGAGTTTACACGCCTATTATTTTTCTCAAAATTTTTCTTGGGCCCACGTGGCTGTGCTGATATCGCGACAGTGCGCCTACAATTTTGAAATTGGGATTAAATTTTAAATGGTGTGTGTTGGTGTGTGTGTGTGTGGGGGAGGGGGGTGGGGGCAAGCATCACAGCATTTGACTGATTTCATTCAAATACCCACTAACGTGTACGTGGCAAGTAGAGAAGGGTTGTCTGGGGTCAATTGATTTACTCAAAACAGCCTGTATCTTGTCATATATCTAGAAGTATATGGGGCCGAGAATTACTAGCATGATCCCATAATCACTACCATGACAACGAGAGTTGTCTTTCTTCCATATCTCTTCCATTTACTTGCCTGTTTTCCCTCACAACTATTAAAAATAGTGTAGGTTTTAGCGAATATTAATCCTTTTATGGATATAAAAAAGAAAGACAAATCAGAAAAATGAATTGTTTTAAGCAAAATAGTCTACATGTTGTTTGGGGCAATTAAAGTTCTTTTATGTAAATCTATGGATTAGGCCTACATCAAAATCAAATGGATATCGATATTTATATCACCAACCAATGCGGAAACTGCAACATTCTAATAGGTTGAAGAGGTAGGGCTGTCAAAATGTTTCCAAACTCTCCTGCACAAGCATGGAAGTAATAAAAAAATGACTAACAAACATTTGTGAAAAGTTTAAAATAAAAATATTTATATTTATGGGTCAACCTAATTTAAAAAATAAAATTCAAATTACAGTTTTAAAACTGGAGGTCCGAGGTTCGATCCCGATGTTGGCCGAGAACGTTCCCCGGGATTTTCCAGCTTGGCTTCCTCTTGTCGCTGGTGCAGGAGGGAGGGTCGGTCTGGCAAAGAAAGGGGTCTAGTCGATCGCGGATGGAACGAAACACCGAGATCCCGTGTACATCTGGCCGTGCACAGTTGGAATGTCTGTGCAGGAAAAATGTCCCCCATAGCACTGCACTGCATGGCGTGTAAACGTCTTTATTAGCCGTCGTAAGAAGACCTTGGGACAGTGGTTCTCAACCTTTTTTTGCAAACGACACACCTTGGTACACATGAAAAAATAACGGCACACCTGGCTAAATATATATGAAAAATATTTTAATTTTGCAAAATAAAAACATGGCAAGTCATAGACAGCATACAACCGTAGACACAGACTAGGCATACACATAGAATGACTCACTAAAATAAACCACAGCTATGAATTTAACCAGTAGGAACCAGTGAATATTCAGTTGGGATCACGTGGTTTTTCGCATTTTCTTAGTGTGCCGTTCAAATTTTTCGCGGCACACTTAGTAAGATCTCGTTGAGATCACCCCCACAGGATGTTGTTTAAAGGGAGATAACAACAATTTAGCAACTCTTCATTTTTTAAAGTGTAGAAATATCCTCGCTTCCGGTGCCGCTTTTTGTAAACAAAACAAACATGTGAGATTTAATTTTTTAACTCTATTTTCTATTAACACAACGCAAGTAAGGTTCCAATGTAATCACAATAATAGCACCCTCACATTTTGTATTGTGAGTTCGAAGGAATTATTTTTTGTTAATTTATCTGGCTTATTAATATAAGTTCCTATAATGCAACTCAACACTATGACTATAAGTATATATGATATGTAACAATAATGTTCAGTGTTTACAGTAAGCTACATATAACTCAACTCACAGTTTAATTAAATGATATTAATATAGAAATATATATGAGGAAACAGTCTTGGATGAAACTCCTGTCAAACACTTTCCAAACGATTGAAACTAGGGATGTATAGCAATATTCAAAAAAGGAAGCCGAAAGCAAGCATTCAATAAAGTAAAGACCTGTAAGTCTTACATAACATAATACTATGTTATGTAAGCTACGACTAGAATCCTTTGTTAGAGATCATATTGTATCACACATGAAAAGAAATGGGCTTTTCAGTACTAAACAATCTGGTTTCCTATCAGGTAGATCAACATCACTACAAATGTACTAGAAAAATGGACAGACTTATGCGAAAATTTGAGAGTATATAGTTATAGAATCTCAGATTAATGAATAAACTGGTTACATCATTCCTGAGTAATCGTAAACAAGTACGAGTTAGAGTGAATAGTAGCTACTCCGATTTCAAACCAGTGACAAGTGAAATACCACAAGGTAGCGTACTAGGCCCGATTCTCTTTGTCCTGTACATAAATGACTTGCCCGAGAACTTGAAATCAGACTGCTATATGTTTGCAGACGGGATATTTCAAACCCAGCCGACAACGAGATATTACAAATTGGTCTAAGATATGGCTACTACGATTTCATCAAGATAAATGCAAAGTACTCACTGATGAAAAATCATCCCAAGAAAACATCTACAATTATGAATTAAGCAATACAGAATTGAAAAGGAAAAGGATGTTGGGGTTATCATAGATCAAAAACTGAGTTTTAAGGATCATTTGAAAGGGTGACCCGTGCACCGTACAGAAACTTGGTCTCGGCACGACGAATGCACATGCTTCTGTGTCTTATCTTGAAGTGATTTCTTGCATACGCTACGCACTCAGCGGTAGAGTCTATGATACTATAAATAGCCATCGCACGTGCTATGCTCTACACTTCTATCAACTATTACAGCCGTAAAAAATCTATTGTTGACAATTCTGAATAGCAGTAATATTTAGCATATTGGTTATTACAGCAGCTTTAGAAATTATGTTTGTTTATTTTTTAAATTGGTTTATCATGAACTGTAACATTAGGAGCTGGATCTTTTGGTTTAGTACAAATAATATCTCTGAAATACTTGTGTTGGGCAAGAACTTGATACTTAGCAGTAGTTTCATTTTACTTTTACAAGGTTCTTAAAACAATTGTTGAGTTGCCTAACATATGTGTTTCTAAATTCAATTTATTGTTCCAGCTTTCTGTCATGTTTTGTAAAAAAGTAGTCTTGATTATCCCAGCCTATTAATCAAACGTAGAATGATCGGTAGACTGGTTAAGGGAGAATACTTTCAAAACAAGGGCATGTAACCTATTTTTTACTCACACGTGCTCGGATGTTATGGGCGACACTCGGAACCATCTTTCAGTGTATTATTTATGGATGATTAAATGGTCATAGCTTATTAAGTACAGCATAACCGTTTATTTAGTGACTATAAATTTTTGAAACTGATTTAAGGCTTGGTGTATATACATGTATAGATATTGTGGTGTAATTGTTGAGATATTTGGAGATATTTATTTATGGTGGGTTACTTACATTTGAACAAAAACATAAACAAAGTTTACAGTATTATGGGCCTCATAAGGAGAACTTTTTCAAGTCTAGATGAGAAAATTTTCCCTCTACTCACTTAGACCTCACTTAGAATATGTAAATGGTATTTGGAGTCCGTGTAAAATCAAGGGTGTAACAGCTATAGAAAATGTCCAGCGAAGAGCCACAAAATCAGTACCAACCCTAAGGAATATGGAATGATCGAGGAATACAAGATAATATCAGAACTTCAAAACTACAACCCTGATATCTGTATAAGAGGTCATAACAAAAAGCTTGCTATCCAAAGATCCAACAAAAAAATCAGATCTAACTTCTTCACCGAGGGAATAGTAACGATCTGGAATGATCTACCCAAATTAGTAGTAAATGCGCCAACATTAAAATCATTTGAAAGCAGACTGGATCGATACTGGAATGATCTAGAGATAAAATTTGACTTTAAGGCTGACTTATTTACCGGAGGTAGTAGAAAAAATCAACACATTGATTACGAAGATCTGAAAATAGTGACCAAGGCCAGCTTTCAGAAGATGACTTGTAAGTTGGAATGAAACAGCTCTGGTGAAACAGTTCTGGCAAAAAAACTACCCGCACCTGTGGTCCAGCACATTTTTTTGCCATTGTGCTGTGATATGGGATGCAGGATGTTTCGTAACCTGGCTGTTTCGTACTTAAGTGCATGTAAAAGTTGTCTTGTTCTCTTGATATTAACCAAGGTACGAAACTGCTCATGTTAGGTACAGATGAACTAAGTATGAAGCAGCTAGGTTACGAAACAGCTCACATTCGTGATATGACATGTGAATATCATAGAACATTACAATGCGCAGATTTAAACAGTAAACCTATTGTTCTAAGATATTCAGCAAAATATTTGCCACCATGTTGGCCAAAAAGAGAAAGATCAATGCCCAGTTTTTGTAGCGTTGCCGTAAATAAGTTGTCAGTATGATTTACAGGGAAGCTTAATACTTGATATTATTTAAATCTTTAATATTTGACAGGTCTAAGGCTACAGATAAGAATATTTATACATTTAATGATGAAAAGACTGTTGCTGATCCAATTTTAGAATATTCACCAACAATTGCAGAAAATAAAGTTCCTCTTGTTATTGATAATGGTAAGTGAATCAGTTGATTTATACCCACTCCTACACCTTTCTTTTGTACTTAAACACCCTTCATGTGATGAGAGACTTGAGGGTTTAATCCGTTAGGCCCATGAACTTCATAGTCTGCAGTCTTGTAATAAAATTATCAACAAAGGCAAATACAGGAAAGCAGAGTTTTCTTTTTTATTCCAATACAAGTGACTATAAAGTTAGATTTAAAAGTCTCATTGCAACATTTTAGCACAATAGGAATTCCTTGCAAACTACAATATTGTGATATGAATCTAAAATGTAAGCCAACTTAAAACCATGGTCAAGTAATTTATTGATTTAAACATACATTTTGAATAAATCTTTATGATTGTTTTATTATACAGGGGGATATCAATGTAGAGTTGGATGGGCTACAGAAGAAAACCCCCAGTTTATATTTAAAAATATCACGGCTAAACAAAGAGGGAAAAAGGTGAAACGATTTTTTATGTTTATTATTATTATTATAGAAGATTTATTTAGTGGTGCCAACTTTGTCACCGACCAAGTATTCTCTTTAAGAGGAATACTTTTACGACAGTTTAGTTCTTATTAAGTTTCCATTGAATAAATGTGATGCCATCTTGTTAATGTTATATATATCCTCATTATTCTATTAGCTGGAGCGATGTAGAAATCCCCAAAACCTTACACTCATCATTTTACATATCGTAATACTGACTTACAGTTAAAACATTATTATATATAATGTATATATTATTAATTTTCAGGAAAATGAGATTCAAATAGGTAATGATATAAGTAATATAGAAGTAGTTAGATGGAATATAAGAACACAGTTTGATAGAAATGTTGTTACTATGTTTGATGTACAGGTAACTATATAGTATCTATATTTAGCTAATGACCTAGTTTGTGTCGAGTGGACTTTAAACCCCATTTCTCTCTCTCTCTCTCTTTCTCTATATATATATATATTTAGTTGCATATTAAATATTCATTATATAAGAGCTAAATCTGCTTAATGCAGATCTTTCGTTTGGCCACAAAACTTATATAAATCATTAATTAGACATTTATTTACACGTCTAGCCCATAATTAACTCTCTAGAGTTACATGGACTGTGGTTGGGGAGTTGGTCTCATGACTTATAAGAACCTTTGACAATTGGAATACCAAGAAGAATATTGCCCTGATCTGACAGAGGGAAGTAGGTGACAAAATCAAATTTTGCAAAACATGATATATGCTGACTGAAATGCCTTTCAAAGTAAATGACATATAAGCCCTAAATTTAAAAATTTTACCAAAGGAATTAAGTACAGTACCATTACTCTGTTTTGTCAGACTTTGTCATCTACAAAAGTTTCTAATTACTTCATTTTGTGCCATGCCTGGAAATAACTGGTCGGACAGGGACAAAGTCTGATCGAATTCTGCAACTTGTCAGGTGAAACTGTCTGTCATTTTGTCTGAGGAAGAATTTATCGGCATATTTTCGCCATTTTCAGAAAATGAAAGTAGATTAAACTGCTACCTTTCGTGAATTTCTAATTTGCTATCATTGCTCTATATTCTATAACTTGTATGTCACAACCCACAATCGGAAAATGCACATAAAGATCTATTCATCCTTAGTGCTACTTTTTTATCTGAAAAATGTCACAGTGTAGTCAATCAACCACGCAGGCTTGCTTCTATGGCCGTAGTCTCGAAATTCTATTCCCAGACATAAAGATACATGTAATGATGGCGAGTGAGAGCAGCTCTATAATTTGAAATCTAACTATTCTAACACCCAACAAATACAAGGTCATAACCGGAAAAAAAACCTACAGGAAACCAAAGATTGACAGGACCATGCCTTTTGGGCAATCAAAAATTTTTGATATCGTGATTCAACTCCATGACTGAAGGTTCAACAAAACCAGACCCAACTTTTCTAGACTAAAATTTTGCGTAGAATATGATGCCGAGTGGTAATCAGTCTGTTGTTTGGGCGTTTTCAAGATATTAGGGGTCAAAGGCCAGTTGAGGTCATTTTCACTAAATCTTCCTAGTGTAAAAATGGAAAATTTGACCTTTTAACCTCCGGGGTCACAAAGAAGAAAAGTGAATTTAGCAAGTTTACATTTTTATTGAAAGAATGATTACCTTCGATCATTTTCAGCATGTTTTCATGATATATAAGAATGGCTGCGCATTCACTTTCAGTGCAAATGACCTCCTTTGACCCCGAATATCTCGAAAATTCCCTAATGGCGGACTGATTACCACTCGGCATCGTATTCTACGCAGAATTTTGCTCTAGAAAAGATGGATCTGGTTTTGTGCATCTGAAAAATAGTATTGTATCATATCTGATGAAAACCATACAGAATATGAAAAACACACAAAGAACTTCAATGAAACAACAGAATTACTTTGTGAAAATTAAGCAGAATAGTAGAATGTTAAACTCCATTTTATTTTGTGAAAATTATCACAAATATATATTTCAAATTGTTAGATCACAGCAGAATAGCCTGAAATATAACAGGTTCTAGAAAAATTATCTCCCTTGCATTATACACAGTCTTATGTTAGTTTCCAAATACTAAGTAGTTTGTTGACAAATTGTGTATAAACTCATTTCTTTCTTTTTCTTACAAGTGACTAGTATGAGAAATAAAAATAACCATTATAATATGTGGGGTTTATTGATAAACAATATTTTATTCAGGATAGGGTTCTATCTAAACATAAACTCAATTTTAGTCATGGGTGAATATGTGGTCTTGTTACATTTGACTGTTTGGAATATGCTGTATCATGTAATTAAACTAAGGGAGACAAGTGATATATTTACCTTGTCATTTGAAGTAGGCTATATTGCTTGTTTTTTGTCACATAATGATCATTTTTGTCCAATTTTTACAGTATACAGTATAATATATTTTGTATTCTATATTTGTTTTACTAGGAACAGATATTTGATTATGTGTTTACACACCTTGGTATAACAACAGAAGGAAAGGTTGATCATCCTATAGTTCTTACTGAACCTCCATGTAACCCTAATATATCTAGACAACGTAAGTTCATTATATGTCCATGTATGATAAGTTGTTTTACTGCCCTTGATTTGAATTACTGTAGGAGTACTCAATTGAATATTCTGGAATTAAATTGAATCCTAAATATAGTGACAATTGAGTGAAAAGGGAGATTTCGGGCTACAATGCATGCACCGACTGCATAAAAAAATATCTCAACCTGCCATGACAGCTGAAACATATTTATTGTGTTTATTAATGTTACGATTCTACTCAAACATCACCTCTGTTGTTTGGACTGACATAACTGTGGCAGGATGGGAATTCTAAGTCACTCGACATTACACAAATCATTTATATAATGGCAGAGGATGATAAAGTGATCATAGCTAGTGAAGCTTATGTGAATTGTATTAACAAATTTTATTAAATTTTGCATTTATTATTGGGCTATCATACTCATAGTCTAAATTCTAATTTATAATTATAAAATATGGGAAAAATGTATTGTGTCACATTTTTGTCTTCCTATACAATTAAGTTATGTTCCATGTCGATTCACTGCTGCAAATATAATATTGGATTTATTGTACACATGTAATATAGTTTTTACAGACTTAGCTTAAAATCTAATCCTATGTCTAATGGCTGTTGTCAATTATTAAATAGAATTGTATTTTATTATAGAAATGTCTGAGTTGTTATTTGAATGTTACCATATACCAGAAGTTACGTATGGAGTGGATGCTATGTTCAGCTTTTACCAAAATAAACCACTTGAGGGTAAATTTTTTAAACCCTGTACTTTTGAAGTGTTTTAATGTAGGTTGGGTGTTAAATGAGAGAAACATAACCGATTAGTAAGCTAGATCTTTAACCACATGGCAACTTGTTCTGACCTCACTGAGACTTTGTATTGATTCCTCGTTTCTCTATTATTTCCATGTACTGTGTACCATGCTGATAGGATGGTTGAATTACACAGTATTTAACGTTTTAAAACCTAACTACTTAATGGAATCAGTGACAAATCTAAACTTGGGCAAGCCAACCATTTTTATTTTTGTTATAGAATTACTGTATGAAAAGTATTGCCTAGAAATGACCACCAGGTTGAGCTAATAAGAACATCATTGTATATTTTTGTCCCACTAGACTAGGGTACATGTATTTTGAATGTACTAATATGGCGATATGTGTTACTGAAGTGTGGACTGTTCTATTCATTTGGAACTGTTTTGTATTTACAGAGTTATCTTCATTGAAATGTTGGAATCGCTTGAAGTTAGAGTTCTTTAAGATTTCAATTCTGAACTGGCTGGTTATGTTTGACTAGTCATAATTAAGGATAGGCTATACCCTATAATTGCTTTCTTTTTGGATTTTGATTGGAATCTTTTTAGGATTCCCTGATCTATTGGATTTCAGACTTTCCAATCGTTATTGTTCTTGTCATCAAATAATAAGTATTCTTTTCAGGTCGCCATTTTGTAGATAGGGTACCACAAATCACCCAGATGTTAGAGTGACAGAATCGCTGTCTTAACCCCTAAACAATAATATAATAATAACATCAGTATTTTATGAAAGTATTAGTATTTTAATTTCAGAAATAAACAATGCTATTATTGTTGATTGTGGTTACCAAGCAACACATATACTTCCTGTTTACAAGAAACATCTACATGCTGTCAACTCTCGTAGAATTAATTTTGGTGGAATTCATCTTGATACGTTCATGCAGAGATTACTTCAGTTGAAATATCCAGGTCATTTTGCCGCCATTACACTTAGTCGCTGTGAGGTAAAATACTTTCAGATATTAAACCTTTGATCTTGAATCTCTTGGGTAGGTCGGGTTCTCTGATTTCCTTCCAAAGGTAAAGACCCTTACGTGCAAGCGAATTATTGAACTAAATTTGTACAATATGTTAGTCTTGAAATGACCCCTAGTTTGTGTCACGTGGATGTAACCCCCTCTCTCTCCCCCTAGGGGGTTGGATGGCCCAATGGTTAGCACGTGCGTGCTGTATCATAAGGCCTGTCATTGAGTCAACTGGCATGGTTTCAAATCCCCGGTTGTACGTGACAAGGAGTAGGGTCGCCTGTCCAGCCTCGTGGGTTTTCTCCGGATTCTCCAGTTTCCTCCCACTGCTAAGACCCCTACGCGCAAGCGAATTATTGAAATAAATTAAAAACCATATGTTAGTCCCGAAATGACCTAGTTTGTGCCGAGTGGAAGTTAAACCCCATTTCTCTCTCTCTCTTTCTCTCTCTCTCTCTTACTCTCCCTCTCTCTCTCTCTGGTAGGAAATTTTCCTCCCACTGATCCTACTAAAGAAGGTAGATACAGTATGAAAGAAAGTGGTATGAGGTGTTTAAGAAAGATTAAGCATACACTGCCTCACAATATCTTGGACATGGATAGGTTGCTATTATACATTTTTGCCAATCTTTAGTGAAATTTTATTCTAGAGAATAATACATGTTATAGTGTAAAATTTGGTTTATATATTCCCAGGGTTTACTACGTGATCACTGTTACCTAGCAACAGATTATTTAAACGAGTTAGATCAATGGACGTCCACTGAGTATTATACAGAAAATGTACACAAAATACAATTACCATACAATACAGTGAGTATATATATATTTACCTTTATCCAGAAAACATTATATCAAAACATGTTTGATTTATGTGTTTTTAAACAGAATAATAACAGCTTGTAAAAATGTGAGCATATAAAACAATTATATGGATGTCATTTAAAAATATTTTTGGCACCTGTTTTCAAATATTCTGATTAGATAGCATAATACTTTCCATAGAACACAGGCCAAGATAATTTATCCCCCTTTTAAAAAAATGCTCTGATTGACACTGTTCAATAAGTATTAACAGGAGTGTATTTTAGTTAGAAACAACTCTTAAATAGCCATACAAAAAAGTATTCAGGCAGACAATACTTTCAAAGTTTTTGTTTTTTATATTTTTTATTTTGCCAAATGATCACTAGGCTAAATAACATCTCACAAACAACACAAAGTTTCTACATGGTAATTATAGCAATTTATTTACATAATAACTTATTCTTGTTTTACATAGCATATTAATTCTCTTACTGCACACTAAGATGAATACAATTTAACTAATCGTCGTCGTATTTTAGGGCTGTAAGCATAGATTTTGTATATCTAATGTGCCTGATTCACCTATAGAGTATAATTTCATTCATTTCTTTCTCAAATGACTCATTATATACCAAAAATTAAGTGAATGATACTGTATATACTAAGAGAGTTCTCAGTCATGAGTCTGAATTGAATGAATTGCCATCATGTGACAATTCTACACTGAACACTGTTGTATCATTGAATGAGTTTTGTCTCCCCATCTTGTATGTTACTAGTATGCCTATAGTCTACTAACTATTAGTAAGACATATTGATTGAACTGCGCTGTTCGGAAAAAAAAAACCATTTATTTTATCTTTGTATACGAATTTGAGGTTTTGCAACCCATATACATATGTTCTGGGCCCTGTTTCTCGAAATCTTAACTAAAGATAAATTCAAATTTTAGTAGATACTTCAATTTTGATTGGCTAAGCACTAAAATCAACCTAATATTATCCAATCAAATTACTAAAATTTGGATTTTATCTTAGTTAAAATTTCGTGAAACAACCCTATGTACTATAAACAATTTATTTTCAGTCTTCAGGAAGTCAATTAACTGCTGAACAGCAGAAAGAAAGAAGATTACAACAAATAAAACGACTAAAAGAAGTTAATCAAAAAAGACGACTAGAGAAGGTAGATATTAATTATTTTCTATTATTAAGACTGTCCAATCACTAAAACATACACAGTATACAAATACAAAAAAATCAGCTAATTTTAACTATGTAAACACAGATGTCTTCTAGTTTAGATACTTATCTTGTAGTCATAATCATCTGCCTTCTTGAGACATTTAGGTAAACTTTTTTCTGTTTATATCCAGCTTCAAGATACAAAAATGATTACATCACAAACATGATTATTTGATAAATCTTTGAATTGTTGCAGCTTTAATTGTGTACTTTATAAACCAAATCTCTTCAATAATAATAGTTGCATAGAGGTATATTATAATGTAGTCAAATTATTTATTATCTATAGTTGAAGAGTGATGAGGATCAATTAAAAGAATTAATGGCAGTCCAAGAATTGATGTTAGATGGAGACAAGCAAAATTTTATTGTAAGTACCTGTATACGTAACATTCATTTTAATTCTTTAAAGAATGTTGGAAATTCATGAAAATTTGGATGAAAAACTTTTTGTTTTGTATGTCTCACTGAAATGAAGAAGATAAATACAGAACTCTTAGATATGTAACCTCCAGTCTTGGTGACGTTATTGGTACACCATTAGCTGGAAGTTCTGTTGGATAAAAGTGAATTTAATTCAAAGCTATTTTATTGTAAACTTTAGAAAGCCCTGTATACAGTAGGATTAAAGACATCAGAAGAACTACAACAAGATATTAATAAATTAACAATAGGTATACAACGTGCTCAAGCTAAAATACTGGGAGTTGAACCACCTCCTGAAGAACCTGAGGTAATAAAACTCTCTCTCTTAAAAATATATAAATCTAAAACTTTTTATATTTTTATTTAATGCCTACTTCCATCATAGGGATATTCCTGACAGGATTGGGGGTTTCATTGTTGAAAGTCATGAGCCATGGTGGCTAAGTGAGTAAGGCATTTCCATGCCAACCTGGAGGTCCTGTGCTCGATTCCTGCGTTTGCCAAGAAGTTCATCAGGATTTTCCAGCATAGTTCCCCCTTGTCAATGTCGCAGGACAGGGACAAATAGTCATTGGGATGGACAAAAAACCAAAGTCCTGTGTACCCATTGGCATGAACGTAAAATATCCCTTAGCCACTGTCCAGGCCAAATTTGCCTCATAGTCATAGCACACTGTATGGCATAAGCCCGACTTCATTAGCTCAGTTGGAGCAGAACAGTAGGACGTTAAACTCCCATTTCATTTCATTTGTTTAAAGTTTGTGTTGTCTTGTATATTGTTTATTGACAGATCTTATTTGATCATGTTTGTCATAAATGTTTTATTTTATTTAAACATGTTTATATACAGGTAAAGAAGCCAATCTTTAATCTACTCAATATACCTGATGATCAACTTACACAGGAACAGTTAGAAACAAAAAAACGACAACGTATCTTAAAAAGTGCTCAAGATGGTCGAGCTAAGGCACAAGCTTTGCAAAGAGCTAAGAGACAAAAGGTAAAAATGCTTGAACTTTATGCTTGCTATGAAGTATTTTAAACATTAAAGCTGTTTATTGCCATTTGAGGGATTTTAAATTCATTGCAAACTATGATATTGCGATAGTTAAATCTCATCTGTCCAAATATTTTGCAGCATTTAGCGCCACCTATAACGAATGGGTAAACTCTTTTGAGAGGCCTCTTTTTATTCCAGTTGAATCAAATCTGGACATTATCTACTGTTCATATTTTGATTTTGTTTCCATAATTGTCCCCCGACTGAGTTCAATGATTAATATTTCCCATTAAAGCTAAGCAAAGCTAAGACATTTCTTTGGAGGTTGCTTTGTTTACTCTTTGAAGAACAAAAATACTTGATAAAAAAAAAAAAATCCCTGAAAGTTTGGAAGGCTGATCCATATTTCCTAATTCTTTAAGCAAATTAATAATAACAAAATTGAATTTTACAACAACAGGAATTAGAAGAAGAGAAGGTTCTAGAAGACAGACGTAAGAATGATTTCCTTGGCTGGTTGATGGAGGTTCGTAACAAAAGACAGAAAATATTAGAGTCACGTAATGTAAGGAGAAAGAAAAAGGGTGACATGGCTAAACGCCGTACGTATGCCTCACAACAACGGATGAAAATAATCACACAGTTGGCTCAGAGTAAGTGAGAACTTTCTTCTAAAAAACTGATTCCCTCAGACCTCTTTATGGGTTCATTATCTATACTAATATTTGTGACTGTCGTTTATCTGTCTGTTTGTTTGTTTGTCTGTCTGTCTGTCTGTCTGTCTGTTCGGGGTTGGCGGCTACACTAGGTCTGCCCCGAGTCTGAAATTTAGGGTATAGGGGTAGCTCGGACTGGGGAGTAACATAGGCCAGGTGGCGTTTGTCTATCACTTCCGGTTTCGGAGTTAGGACCCCCGAGCGAAGCCGGGCATTCTTCTAGTACTGCATAGAACTCACTTATTGTGGATTTGAAATAAATGGGGTTTGATGTCTTACTTTTCTGCACAAACTGAGCTAATGAATACGGACATATGGCATACATTGTGTGATGAGGGAGGCTACTGCCTGCTCTTATTTCAATCTCTAACTGTAAGAATTTATTTAATATGTATACATGGAACCTCAGTTTTTACACTCCATCTGACCAACAAGATTCTTTTTCATCCCATGCCTTCTAACCTGCGCTACTGAAAAGTTGATGGAATAATTGATGTCAGTATGCCTTTATGTGACACTCGCACATCCCAATTTGTAATAATCCCAAATTAAATAGTAAGGAGAACCATAACAGATGACAAACCCACAGTCATTACAAACATATCACACAGACAGTAGAAAATGATAAAAGTACTATCAAATTAAATGAATGGATCATGGATGCGGGAAGAGACATTGGGGATGCCCGATTCACAGTTCAGAACGTCCAGAATTGCAATTGAGTAACGCGGAATTCAGTTCTGTCACAGTTCTGTCAGTCCCTACAACGGAGGTGGTGTGAGTAGAATCGTGACGTAATTAAACACAACGAATATGTTTCGGCTGCATGGTTGGTTGAGATATTTACTTATTCCGTCAACGCATGCGTTGTAGCTCGAAATCCACTTTTTCACTCGATTGACATTATTTTTGTGATTGAGAGAATTCAATTCCAGAGCGTTCAATCGAGTACCCCCATTGAGTGCCCTACAATCCTTGATCTGCAGTGACGGAAACTCTCAACAAGGGAGGTAATCACAAAACACAAAAAAAGTAATCTTTTTCCAAACATTCTAATGTAATACTATGTTATGAGAGGTATGTTGTTACAAGCATAATTAGGTCATTCTATTTCAAATTTGAAATTATTTTGAAAACAAGAAAAAATTTTTAAATATAGTGTCTAATACAGATGTCTTACATATTTCTAGAGTCATCAAAGAAAGAGGATACATTTGGTCAGAATGATGCAGATTGGGAAGTTTATAAAGAAATTGTAAGTTATAGATTTATTATTGTATATATACGCATTCTTCAAAAATAATGAAATTTATCATTTGCATTTTACTACACCTAGAATGTGCAATTAAAATTAAATTGTTTTTAAAAAGATTTATTTTGGTTTGAAATGGAAAAGATTATTGTGAATAATAATTGCGTGCATATTTCTAACACCAGATTGTCAATTTATTTTATTATCTTAAAGAATCCTGAAATGGGAACAAGTGATTCTGAAGCAGAAGATGAAAAACTTGAAGAATTAGAGAATATGCTACGAGAACATGATCCAGAATTTCAGAGGTATGATATCATCAGTTATATTCCAGTTATTTCTTTTGTTTTGTGTTTTCTTGATTAGGCCGTTAAGTGGGACGATAAACCTTAACCCCATTTCATTTCATTTATATTTTTACAGGGAACTAGATTTTGGTGGTTTACCAGGAGGAGAGTTTAATTTAGCTGAATATTATCAACTACATTTAGCAGTAGAGAAAATAAGGCAAGTATAAATATAAGTTTGTTGGATAAGGAATCAATGGTTGTATCCATTTTTGCCAATTGTTTATAGATTTACACACATCTACTTGAATTGAAACAAATTAAAAAATCTCAGGTTATTTATCTTACGGTTAAGAACAAAGCATTTAGATAATTATGACAATTTGTATATTTAGAGTACCAGAGATATTATTTCAACCATCAATGGTTGGTATAGAACAAGCTGGTATAGCAGAATCTATGGATTACGTCCTTAAAAAATATCAACCTGAAGATCAAAATAAACTTGTAAAGGTTAGTAGGAGGTTGAAAGTTTTATCTTGTATATTACATGTTATTAAATCTGAAGATCCTGGATTCCATACTAGTGTTAGACGAGAAAGTTCCTTTGAGAGAGAGAGCGAGAAATGGGGTTTAATGTCCACTCGACACAAACCAGGTCATTTCGGGACTAACACATGGTTCAATTTTATTTCAATAATTCGCTTGCGCATTTTGTTCTTTGCAGTGGGATGAAACCGAAGGACTCGAAGAAAACCCACGAGGTTGGACAGGCGACCCTATTCCTTGTCACGTACAACTGGGGATTCGAAACCACACCAGTTGACTCAATGACAGGCCTTATGATACAGCACACACGTGCTAACCATTTGGCCATCCAACCCCCCAAGTTCGTTTGAAACAGACTTTCAATAGTAATGAGGATTCATATGTCTCTGCTGTTGCCAATGGTTAATCATTGCCTGTTGGTATAGAGGAGTTTAGATGTCACACAAATACAGAATGGAATCTCTTACCATCCTAACCATAATATAATCTTTGTACTTTATAGTGAATGTGTTCATCTTTGCATATTATTTTTCAGTGTGTATTTTTGACTGGTGGTAATTCTAATATTCCCAATTTTAAAGAAAGAATGGAGAAAGAATTACTAGAAATGAGACCTTTTCAGTCAACTTTTACTGTTTACAAAGCTGGTCAGATTTATTTCTTTTCTTAGTAAAATTCCATACTAGCAGCTGAGGAATTGTATTGTAAGATTCCAAGAAATTAATGGAATATGTTTAGAAAAGTAAAGATTTTTTAAATGTAGTCTCTCTTCTTCTTGAGGCCTTCACATCTGTATTTAAAATCATCTTTGACAAATCAGTGGTTCTTATAGACCCATGTCACTTTCTTCCCTTTTCCATCACAGGTTTCCTCAAATCCACCCTTATTTTGATATCCTAGTATCATAATATTAATGTTAAAAAACTTTAAACCACAATAATTGAATAGTCCCAAATTAAGTCTGTGGTAGCAGTATTTTGTGATCGACCCGTAGCAGTATTTTGTGATCCAACCTAATAGTTAAATATATAATTTAATACATATATGCATTGTGCACTATTCTTTTCCAGTTTGGTGTTCCTCCCTTGACTAAAACTCCTCCCCAATTCCTACCCTTGCTAAAATTCCTAGCTGTTTGAAAACCACTGTTTTACTTCTACATATTAATTTTAACAATGACAACTGTTGTATATTATGTGCTTGTGTTTTTCTATTACAGCTAATCCAAGTCTAGATGCATGGTTAGGAGCTAGAAAATGGTCGCTATCACCATATTTGAAATCATCATGTATAAGAAGAGAAGATTATAATGAGATGGGAGAAGGTTATATTAAAGAACATTTACTATCTAATCAATTCTTTCCTACACCTATACTTGTACCTAAACCTACTCCAACAACAGTCAGTGGTGTATCTTGATTGACAGACTGGCATATCTTGACTGACACAATGGTGTATTTTGATTGAGATTAGTGTAGCTTGATTGACAGACACATTGGTGTATTTTGATTGACAGATTTGTGTATCTTGATAAATTGTTTTGATTGACAGATTGGTTTATATTGATAAACCGTTGTTAATATTGGTGTATCTTGGTAGATTATGGTATATTGGTTTACAGATTGATAGATTGCTGTATCTTGCATGCTCGATATATACACCAATAAGAAATGCATTTATTTTTTTTATCAGACAACTGCTGGTTTCATTTCATTTATCAGTCAAATCACATGTAGTTGTTACAGATCTATGTGTTTTTTGCTATAGATCTATGTGTAATTATTATATATTATGCATACTGTGTATAATTGTTACAAATCTATGTGTAATTGTTTAAAGATACATTAGTTAGCAGTTTAATCTGCCTATTCCAAGTCTTTCGTTAGGCTTCAGATGTTATTGAAATTATTAATTGGACCTTTATTTACATGACAAGCTCAAAATCAACTCTGTAGAACCTCGGAGGGCATAGACAAAGCTTGGATTTAAAGAGTCGTCCATTTGATTATTAAATCAATAAATGACTGACCAAGCTAACGTTTATCGTTAGTCCCTGACGTCACTATCGGAGACTGCCGATGAAAGGCCTGTCAATCAAGTGTACCGTAGCCATTGAGAATGTTACTTGATAATCGAGAATATGTGGGTAGAGTTATCTCTCTCAATCAAATGATCGGCAATTCTCGGAGACGGTGCGGAGACAGTTGATGCCTATTTTTAGTCCAAACTTCCAACCGTGACAACTCCATTCAGAATAAAGTAATTTGACTGAAATTTTCAATATTTTCTTTTTTTATATTTTATTTTGAAATTAATATATCAAGAATGACCAACTCTTTATTAAACTTTTAACTAATGTATCTTTAACTGATCTGTATATTTGCTATGTATTCGTGTGTTGTTTTTACAAATCTATGTGTACTGTAATTGCTATATATCTATATTTAATTGTTACATAATTGTGTACAATTATTATGTGTATATTTTATTTTACATATATATTTGAATTGTTGAAGATTTGTGTACGAGAGTGTTTCATGTAAAGAAGACTATTAACTGACCATACAGGTATAGGGGATTAGGATAGGCGTAGATGTGTCATTATACTGAATATACATGTTTCATATCACTTTCATCTATTTTTTTAAAAACGATCTTGTTTGTAATTTTTCAGAAGTTGAGATTAAATAAAAACAAAAGCCTAGTGGGCTAGAAAAAATTCATCAGTATTTATAAATTTACTTATAATTTGTTAAATATTGGTTTGAGATTTATTTATTTTATGCAATCTATTTGACTTTATCTTTGACAACATCTTTGTCTTGTTGATGTGTTTGTCTTGTGTGTTACTAGTTAATTGGTAGGGGCTATGGGGACCTGTGGTACACATACTATTTGATAATAATAGCAGGACTCGGCTTTACTGTAGTACCCTTAACAAAAGAAACAGAAAATGAAAATAAAAATTACAGGTGGGCAATACGAACTAAAGGGATGTTCGAGACAATGGTCGAGGACATTCGTTCAGGGCCACCAAGTGAATTTTATATGCCGAGCAAGGTAGATTTTGGGCCCCCATCCCACACCTGTGCAGTGACATTAAGACCATAAACTACTTGGCAATACATTTATGTTCAACAATCTTTATTTTTTAATACCTGAACTATAATACATTCCAATTCAGAGTAAGGCATCGCGGGCTTTGCTGCACGAATACTGGCCATTTATGGGCCCCGAAGCAATGTAGGCCTACTCACTGCACACCCTCTCATCAGGCCTTCATTTGTTAATGTAATTGTAGGAGCTAACCGCGTTACCCAAACTATCTGTCATATAAGACTGAGTTCTAATTTCTACACAAGAAAGAATATAGTTTGCTAACATATCTTTAAAAATATTTTATAAAACAGTCGTTACGAAGTTCTGTGTAAATAACTGTACATACGATTCATGAAATGGGCACCTGTGTCCCTGTTTCACCCCCGAAAAAAGTCGGGTCATTTCTAGGCTAACAACTGGTATACCTTTATTTCAAAAATTGGCTTGTGCCCAGGGATCTTTAGCAAGAATACTTAGACCTTTATGTACAAGCCTACTATACCAACCACGACATTTGACACAATGACAGAGACCAAAAGTATGGTCAGTTGCCTTATTTCCTCCCACTGCTCAAGAACCAGTCTAGTTCGGTTTAAACCTTGGCTTTACACGTAACGAACACTTGACATAATTCAAAATAAAAGTACGCGGCCGTATCCGGGCAAAAATTCACAGACAGCACACAATATTTCGTATGCTCGTCTTCATTATCCCAATCAATGGGATGAAAATAAAATACACCTCGATCCGTATTGTCTTTTACCTACTGCATTTGCTCTACCTACAAGAAATATACAATTTTCGTACGATACTTATAGTTGTCAATATTCATTCTTTAAAATGCTACATACAATCAGCATATCTTTTATAAAATAAAATGGCTATCTATCTTTTCTTAAATACCTTTGTCGGAAATATTTGGAATTTTCACTATGCCACTGACTCCAACCGAACTCCATTGCGCGAACATATAAGACGGACCAAAATGAAATGAAATGGGGTTATAACGGCCTTCTGTTCTGCCCCGACTGGGCTAATGAAGACGGACATAAAATCGTCAGAAACTGTTATATTGTAGCATGTAACATATTGCACTTTATAGTCGACCCTAGCCTGCATATCAAGCTAGGGTGTTTCACATTTCAACTTTTTTTTCAGTAATCCAATCTGGCTTTTGTATCATACGTTTCCATTAGGCCTACCAATTTTTCGAATTTTAAAATTTTTTTTTATTAAAATTGCATATTTTGGTAAATCCCAATCAAAATACCACGCACCTTGAAATTGAATTCAAAGCTGCCATAACTGTATGTGCTGCTATGGAGGAAGAAGCCGCGGAAAAGAACCCGGGACGTCCTCAAGTCTCAAAAACCAAATATCCAAACAGGAGTATGCCGGGGAACAAGACCAAACATTCTGTCACGTCAGTGAACCGAAGAAATCAACCAACACATCCACATGTCCCCAGAAGTCAGGCTAAATCAAAAGATTCTGAAGAATCGGGAGCCACGGTGGCTAAGTGGGTAAAACGCTAGCTGACTAGCGTGGAGGTCGCGTGTTCGATCTCTGCATTGGCCGAGAAAGTTCATCGAGGTTTTCCGGCGTGGTTTCCCTGTGTCAGTGGTGCAGGACCGAGGGCCTGACAAGGACAGTTATCTAGTCGTTAGGATGTGACCAAACACCGAGGTCCCTTGTATGCATTGGCATGCACGTGAAAGATCCCAGGCTGTTGGAATTCGATATACGAGTAGGTCATATTGCCGCTACCCGTGCAAAATTTCACCCGTAGCACACTGTATGGCGTATGCCCGTATGGCGTATGCCCATCTTCATTAGCCCGGTCGGAGCAGAACAGTAGGACGTTAAACCCCATTTCATTTTCTAAAGTCGACCTCCGTAGGTATAAATACGTAACTATCACCACAGTCTGCGTGTGGAAAGAAATATTACCCAAGAATCGTACTATAATTGCAAGAATGTTAGAAATCATTGAACGAGAATTTACTTCCACTAAATTAGCTGAAGTATGGAAGTAGGCTATCACTTTGGAATGGGACTGCTCACTGTTGTATAAAAAAAAAACTGAAGGAAAATGACAAAACTGAAATAGTCAGAAGAGACGCAATCCAGTATGGTGGCTGATTGGTATCATGTCGTGATGTCGTGGTGTCGCCCTTCATAAGGCGACAACCCGACATCACGACATTATAACCCGACACCAGGACAACCCGACATCACGACATTTTTAACCCGACACTACGACATATTCACGCGACACCACGACATTAAGAATGTCGTAATGTCGCGTAAAAATGTCGTGTTGTCGTGATGTCGGGTTGTCGACTTTATTTATCAATGTTGAAGCGGCCACGAGATCAAGTCAGCCCTCACTATCTCATCCTTCACTATACTTACCCTTCACTAACTGGGAATCAAGCTGGCCCTCACTACCAAATTACGGGTCTTAATACGAAATTCCAGATATCAGACTACTTATCAGTAGAAAGCACGTTCACTGGTCTTTTCAAATATATAAATAATTTTCTGGCACATTTATATTGACTTGGGTATTTTAAATAAAAAATCGGGGCTTCATCCAAAATTCCGTATATCTATACTGAAAAGTAAAGTTAAAGGACAATATTGGTGCCAGTCATTATCACATATGTGATAGAACTGGTTAAACACGTTCCAAATATTATTTTATCACAGAGATCATTGCTACGATAGATGAGTAATCAATGTTTCAACAATAGGAAGTGACGAACGCAAAAGGAAAACACGAGTTATCCCTTTATATAACTGAATGAAGTGACGGGTGATAACAGATGCATGGGCGAATTTCTGCTCACTAATAATTCCTTCGAAGAACAAAAGTTGTTGTATGGGACTGTGAAAGGATATCTGACAATTCATAAACAAAATTGACTCTCACTAGATAAGAGAACATGAAAGAAAAATAGAAAAAGCCCGTGCATTACCATGTTTTTATAAGTATAGAATGAATAAACACCCGTGAATGTACGGACTGTTTCTATTTTTCTCGTGTTCTCTTATCGATTGACATGCAATTACTTTTTTGAATTGTCAGATATACTCTTACAGTCTCATATAACCATTTTTGGTCTTCGAAGGAATTTTTAGTGAGCAGAAATTCGCCTATGCATCTGTTATCACCCGTCACTTCAGCCAGTTATATAGAGGGATAACTCGGGTTTTCCTTTTGCGTTCGTCACTTCCTATTGTTGAAACATTGATTATTCATCTATCGTAGCAATGACCTCTGTGATAAAATAATATTTGGAACGTGTTTAACCAGTTCTATCACATATGTGATAATGACTGGCACCAATATTGTCCTTTAATCCTCTCTTGAAATGTATATATTTATTATATTCTCGGCGGAATGCATATATATTTTTTTAAATTAAAATTGATACAAGTTTGGTAGCCTTCACTGGTTGAATTAAAGAGAGTGGTGGGGTGGGGCGAGTGTTTAATGTCAACATACGTGTCTTAATGCGAAATTCCAGTTATTGTGTTATACATCGGGGGAGCGGGGGGGGGGCTGAATGGTTAGCGTGTGCGCGCTGTATCATAAAGTCTGTGATTGAGTGAACTGGCGTGGTTTCTTTTTCCCGGTTGTACGTGACAAGGAGTAGGGTCGCCTGTCCAACCTCTTGGGTTTTCTCCGGGTCCTCCGGTTTCCTCCCACTTCTAAAGACCCCTACGCTCAAGCGAATTATTGAAATAAAATTAAACCATACGTTAGTCCCGAAATGACCTAGTTTGTGTCGAGTGGACGTTAAACCCCACCTCTCTCTCTCTCTCTCTCTCTCTCTCTCTCTCTCTCATACATCACCGGAAAGTAGGTTTCTTAGGTTCTTTAAATTACTTATTATTTTCTGGCACATTCACGATTACATACTTTAGAAGAGATAAAAGCGTTTTTATTTTGAGCAAAGAAATGGCTTAATAAAAATAGACTACTTTCAATTAATTTTATTTATCGAAGGCTCGAATTAGCCCATTACACTCAAGTCATGGTCATCCAGCGAATTTGGTAGTGAGGACCAGCTTGATTCGCAGTTAGTGATGGGTAAGTATTCTTAGTGAAGGATGAGATAGTGAGGGCTGACTTGATTTCGGCAAGGGACAGCACTCTATTATTCATGACCGCTTCAACATTGATAAATAAAGTCGACAACCCGACATCACGACAACCCGACGTCACTACATCACGACATTTTTACGCGACATTACGACACTCGTAGTGTCGGGTTAAAAATGTCGTGATGTCGGGTTGTCGGATTATAATGTCGTGATGTCGGGTTGTCGTGGTGTCGGGTTATAATTTCGTGATGTCGTGATGTCGGGTTGTCGCCTTATGAAGGGCGACACCACGACATCACGACATGATACCAATCAGCCACCATAATCCAGAGACGCAATCCTTTAAATCAAATGAGACTAATTTTAAGGATTCACTAGATGAACCTGATCAGATGGGCTTAACATTAGGTTGTGATAAATTGCAAAGAGGCGAGATCATGCAAGACAGAACCGAAGAGAAGCGGAAATCAAGAGGCACGAAAAAAGCTGTGCTACAAAAGCGTCA